GAAATCGAAAAAAGTATTCATAATAGCCAAAATGGAAGAAATTACTACAGAGAAAGGCAGACTGAAAAACATAAGCAGTTTGTCTGGTGAAATACTTCCGCAATCAACAGGTTTTTGTTTTTCAGTCTCAGGTGACTTTTTAGACCTCTTAAAAGTTTTATTTTATCAACGCTTAAATTATAAATTTTAACTCCATACGTGCATTCCCCCTCCCCTCTTCAATTTTGTGAAGGATTCTAAAAATACATGTTGGGGGCAATCATTACTTCGTATTTTTAGAACAATCAAATAAAACTTTTTGAAGTTAGCAAGTTTAAATTGTTCTGTAGTAAGTTTTCCTCCTCCCTGACGCTTTTTTTTTAATAATTCCTCTGAATTTCGGAACACCCTTTATCGACATCCTGATGCATATTTGTAGATTTATCTTCTAAGGTTTCGATTGAAAGGTTAAGAATTAACCCTTTATTGGGCCATTATTTTTTCTTGCAATGTTTTCTAATAGTTTACTAGCATTTATAAAGGGAAATTCATTCGGCTTATTACCTAAAAGTAATTTGATTTTTAATGCCATTTATTTACGATAGGCGGGATTTTCAAAAATTTAAAGAATCGACCCTAAATTCGAACTTCGGTGCTTATAATTAACCACTATAATATTTATGCTCTAAAATGCAAGGTTTAGGGAGCAAATTTGCGAGATTAATTTTTAAAATGTCCTTTATAGCGTGAAAAATTAGAGATAGGTTATGAAACGAAGTTCCTTTTTCTGCTATTGAAAGAGAAAATTAAGAACTTGAATGCAAAAAGGAGGGCACCATTTAAAGGAAGGAAATTCATACAAAATATTTACTGTGAAACCTCCTGTTATGGACACTTCTGCAAAACGGACGCCTCTCAATACGGACATATTTTTAATTCCCCGGGAATCTTCTATGAATAAACCATTACGTACATTCTCTGCAAAGCGGGCCCTCCCGTAACCGGACGGTCATTTTTGCCCTGAAACGTAATTTTCTATCAACCGGACACTTTTCTTTTACTAAATTTGAAAAAAAAAAAAAAAAAACTATTTTTGCTTTAAATTGCAAGTAAAAAATATGCAAGTTTTTAACCATTTTTAAAGCATATAAATTTTTTGTCTTATCCATAACTAAAAACATTAAGCTATTTCAGTACTGAAGTACCAATCTTGCTCCTGTCACCTTTCCAAAGAAAGAACAGAAAATGATACTGCATTGGTGAAATAATTTGGACAGCAGCATTTTTTGATCTTTCCATCTGGACCATTCAGGTTATGAGACCCCTCAAGTTGAAATGACCTCTTAAATGCTCCTCCCCCACTGAACACTTCTATCATTTTGAAGACTGTATTTAACACAGCTGGGGTAAAAAAAAAAGAAAACAGAAGTATAATCTTAGAGGTGTTCATATAAATGAAACATTTATTCAGACACTTGATAGATGATCAATTGTGAATAATCAACTCCATAGGTCTTCATGACTTAAGGTATGCATTACTTTTTCTTTCCTGTGAGTTGTGGGAGGTTTACTTTAAAGAAGATATTAACCATGTTTCCTAAGTGCAGGGGTGATTGTGGACCCAAATCAAAATTTCGGAAAATTTCTTGAGTTAAAAAAAAAGTTTAAATTGAAAATAAGTTAAACAAGTTTATTTTTCCTTTTTCTCAATATTTCTTAGTTTACTTAAAATATATTTACAATTTTACACATACCTATGATGACCTGGAGAAGTAATTAAAATTTACATGTCTTTTTTTCTTGAGTTTATGATTATAACAACTCAAGAAAAAATGGCATAATGTGTCTGTAATGTAGACAACTGGTAGACAAATGTGTAATGTAGACAACTGATAAAAAATTAATATTAATCATGATTATAAGCTTATAAAGTATCTCTCTGGCTCTCCCTTACAAACAAATAAAATAAACTGTGTTTTTAAGTTCCACCTTTGAAAATTTGATTTCCGGAAACTTCTGTGATCAATGATTTTTTGAAACGTCTGGACCTTCGATCTCCGGATCACTGTTAGCGAAAAATCCGGAAATCCGGATTTTTTCCGGAGCACAATCAGCCCTGTAAGTGATTGGTAGTTGATGGGTTGGTGTTAGGGGATGTAAACCTAATAATTGAAACCAACTGAGGACTAAAAGATCCTATTCCCTAACATATGTCTAACTTGAATATCTGTGAACTTGATTGTGATCTAACTTGAAAATTATATTCATTTATCTGTAGCTACATCTAGAATTTTGTATTTATATCAAACTTTCATTTATTATTTTTTATCGAAATAATATTTTTTAAAGTTTAAATAAATATCCTTGTTATTGCAGATTAATTAATTATTTCTATATCTTTGAAAAAAGTATTCTTAAAACAATTTATAGCGTTAAACTTCGTTTTTAGGGTATCCTTCCTGTAAACGGACAACTCTCATAAAAAGACAAATTTTTCGGCCCAAGAATGTCCACTTAACTGAGATTTCACTGTATATACTAAAAATATAGAATTGATTATGTGAATTAATGAAACTATTATTTACATTGTCCTTGTTTAGTCTTTTTACAATGAAAAAGAATTACTTGTTACTTGACTGTCGTTTTTAGAAAAAATGCATGAAATATGTATGATACCATTTTAAGAATCCAAAATCATAGATTCTTAAAATAATAATTTCTTTAATATACTATAGTTTTTTTTAAATATGTTCTTTATTTTAAGGTAATTCATTATTATTTCTTTTTAATGCCTTGTTTCATAGTGTGAATTATTGAAATATAATTTTCAGGGTTGCCACAGTAAAAAATGAACAAAAATAGTTGCTTTTAGTGGTCTCAAGCATGAAAATAGTTGCCTAAAACTATAAAAATAGTTACCTGAACAGGAGTAAAAATTTATCAAAAATAGTAGCCAAATAATTAAAATTATAGCTTAATTGTCAAATACTATGATAAGGACTGGTTGATGTCAGAACTTTTAAATTGTGATACATGGTCCGTTAGACATCGAGATTTAGCATATGTTCATAAATTACCTATGGAAATCAATCAAAAATAAATTAAAAGGAATAAATCTATTACAAAAGAAAATATTAATTCTAAATATATTCTACTATAATATCAATATCACTGCTTAATTTCTTCAATTAAAATAATAAAGAAGTCAAAGTAAAAGCAAACCCAAGATTTATTTCATTTTTCTTACATTAAAAATGATTTAAGATTTATTGGTTTAAAAATAATAATACTGTAACAAAATATTTTACATACGTGCATTAAAATTAATAGAAAAAAAAAACGAAAGTAGAATGCAAACCAAAGAAATGTTCACTTTAGAAAAAAAAAATTTTTTTTTAAAAATTATTTGTTGGAAATAAAACCATGTTTTTGAAACATCATTAGACCCTCTTTTATTCAATTATTTAAAATAATATAAAGTGGTATTAACTAATGGTCAAATTCTGTACTGAATAAATGTAAAAATATTTTTACTTATTTATTATTATTTTCGTTTTTGAAAATAAAATTGAGTAAAGATTTATTTCTTTAAAAATGACACTGACTATCTAACAAATTATAAAACAAACAAGCATTGAAAGAATTTAAATAAAATTTAAGAAAAAAAAATACTTTAAGTACTAATGTTAAATTATCAAAAAGCGTCCTAACATTACTAAACTCTTTATTTAATTTTTAAAAAAAATTTTGTTTTTTAACTAATAGCCAAATTTTTTTAAAACTGTTCTCAGTTTCTCAAAAATAAATTCAAATTAAATAAAGGTAAGCCTTATTTTAATTTTTTTATAAATAAAAACAACTGAACATTTATTGGTTTAAAAATAATCAAATTATTATACTTACCTACATTAAATAAATTTGAAAAAAACTAACTTTTTATAACAAAATTAAGTACAAAATACCCCTAATAAATTGTATCGCTTAAAATGAAAAATAATAATTGAAAAAAACCAATGAAGAAACTTTTTTAATTTATATTTTCTTTTCATTGTTCTATTGAGTTCAGAACGAAAGTTTAAGATAACAGCGATTGTGCAGCAATCGCAAAGTAACAGTAGGTCTACGAAAAATAAGTATAAGTATAAAAATAACTTCGCTAAGAGTAAAAAAGTCTCTCAATAGTCGCCTATTCCTGAAAATAGTTGTTTTTTTTAGCCTTTTCAGGCAAAAAAAGTCGCCTAAGGCCGAAAATAGTAGCAAATAGTCGCATTTTAGTAGCCTGTGGCAACCCTGAATTTCAGAATGTTTTGATTATATATATTTTCAAAACGAAATATGTTAACTATTATTAAATATATGAGTGGCACATAGAGTAGTTAGCATGTGAATATAATGTGAGAGCAGTCAAAATTTTGTAACTAATTGTATGTATGTATGACGCAAATGATTTGAGCTAAATATAAAAAAAAATATATAAATATGCATTCACAATTATTAATTTAATTCTTTATAAATTCATGTCATTTAGAGCTTTTAAATCAAACCAAAGTTTGGGTGTCATGATGCTTATTTGATTGAAAAATGCAGTCGACAAACATTTATTCATGGTAAGTAACTTATAAATTTAATTTTGTATTAATATCACATTTGGTTTTCATGTCTTTACCTCTACCTAGACATTTATTTATATTTTTTGCACGTGAAATTAATTTTTACTTTTAGTACGCTAAAAAAAAAAGAAACAGCACATTCAAAATAAAATAAAAAGATTTTTAAAAAGAAAACTTGCGATAAATGTTTTAAACATTTTGAAGTTCAATTTAACAATTAGTTTACAATCTATTAATACTGATTTTTAAATTCTAGAGGCCTCTAAGCCTAATTGTATTGATTGATTTTTAAAACTATAGCCTTTGAGATTGATTTGTAAAAATATGTGTGATAATTGTTGATCTTAAAATAAAATACTGCATATAATATTGAGAATTTTTCGGCAGCTAAAAATATTGAAGAAAAAAAAATTTGCTAGAAAAATACAAAAATTTTTATTATACAATGTACATAATGTGAAATAGTGAGGTTAAAAAATAACCAAATGAATCAAAAATTAAAATCAAAAAATTCCAAACGTTAATCTAGCTACGTGATCAGTTTTTCTTTTGGTAGATTTTATGAATCCAAGTAATTGTAGTTCAGAGATTGCCTGTAAGAATCGAATACTTTCAAATGTTAAGAAATATAAAAGATATATTGAAATTTAAAAACATAATAGTAAAAATAAAACATGAAATATAATTGTTCTAAATTAAAACTTATAATTTAATAATAAAAATTACCTAGTTCTTCGATGCAATGTCAAATGCTATCAAGACTATTGTTTTAAGCCATTGCTTCAACTTGTATTAAAATTTAAATAGTACTGTTTTTCAAGTTTTTTTCACATTAACATTTTAATCAAATAGTAAAAAATTAATTACACTTCACACTTCAATAACTTTGAAATTAAATAATTTTATTATTAGTTATTGGCTTAATTTAAAAATTAAAAGGATTTTTCTAAATTAAATATTTTTTTTTGTATAGAAAATAAAAAAAAGGGTGTTTATTCTTGAAATGAAATATTAAAAATATAAAAAATAATTACAGGGAGTGGACAAAATAATGGAAACGTTTAAAGAATAATTTTATAACTTCAGAAGTGTTTAGATCATGCAAATTCTCATACTTAACAATCAATGAAGTTTAAAGCTTTTAGATGTTTGAGGGATCAGCAATAAATTGTAAACGAAAAATAGTGTTTTTTAACACGACATGCCAAAAAATTTAGCAACAAGTTTGCAACTTATAACAATTGTTTCGGTTATTATATGTGATAATCACGCAAATTTTTGTAAATTTAGCTAATTTTCACGCAAAATTTTTGAAAATCCCGCCTATCGTAAAGAAATGGCATTAAAAATCAAATTACTTTTAGGTAATAAGCTAAATGAATTTCCCTTTATAAATGCTAGTAAACTATTAGAAAACATGGAGGTATGGACATTTTTACAAAAACAAATTTTACTGCCAGATGATTTTTGATAAAAACTTTAAAAATTCAATAAAAAAAAAATTTCTTGGAGCAATTTAAAATGAATAACGAAATTGTTTCTAAATTTGCTTAAAAATGCAAAAGATATGAGCAATAAAAGTAGTTCTTATCTGTGCATGCGTAGGAAAACTGATTTTTTTTTTTAACTTAATTTTGTAGTAAATCATTTTTAGCAACTAATAAAAAAAGTCTGATTTGAATATCTTAATTTAAAACGTTTCAAGCAATTTTCTAAGTAATTTTCGTACTTTTTAAAAGAAACTCAAAATGATAAGGTGTTTTCCACAAATTTCATTTTGTACTATTAAACAAGACTTATTAAAAATTGGGGATTATCCCCTGTAAGTGACTTTTCTTTCACATTTTTTTTTTCTTATACAATCATACTTTGGTGTATAAACGTTTATCGTAGAGTATTATTTTTTATTCAATTTTGTCTTATGATACAAAATAATCTTTGAAGAAAACCTCTTACAATTTGGGGTATCTTTTAAAAACATTTAAATCTGACTTTTTTCATTATATGCCAAATACGATTCACTACAAAATTATGAAAAAAAGGTTTACACCTGCACAGTATAAAGGAACTACTTTAATTATTTTTATATTGCAGTTTTCAACAAATTTTTTCTCAAATTTTAATGAAAAAATTTTGTAATTTTAAATTGCACACAAAATTTTGTTTTTATTGAATATTTTTAAAGTTATAGCAAAAAGAAAAAACATAAGACAAAAAAATTATAATTTTTTTAAAAATAAAAATGTCCATATTTCCATAAATGCTTAAGCTATGCTTATGGAATTTTGTGCAATTGTAGCATATAATAAGCAAAATAATTGTTACAACTTACAAATTTATTACATTTTTTAGCATAGGGTGTTCAAAAAATATATTCTGTTTGAAATGTGTCCGTCCTTTAAACTTTATTGATAAGTGAAAAATCGCATTATCATTTAAGTATTTCTTGAAATGTGAAAAAAAAAAAATAGCATAGAAATGTTTCCATTATTTTGTTCGCTCCTGTATTTTAAATGCATATTGCTTCTATTTATTTTAAGAAATAGTTTTCTAAATATCAAGGAAGGGTAAATACACGACATTTTTGATTCTTTGAAATTTTTAAGAAACTGCCTTTATGTGAAACTACGCGTCTTTTTTTAATTTTTGAGGAAAAAAAAACATGTCTCAAAAATTTGGCAAGGTAGAAACTGAAGATCATCTGGAATTTTGAGGATAACATCCACAGTAATTCTATATACATATATATATATATTTTTTTGCCTTACACTTTCTTACTATAACTGCAGAAATATTCATTAGAATTAAAAAAATTTCTCAAATTTTTACTTAACAACAAAAATATAATTTTAAAATTTGAAAAAATCATTAAAAATTGTGCAAGATATGTGCCTTTAATGTAATCCTTTTCATACTGTGCATGCGTGCAAAACATTCTCATCAGACTCTTATTTGTTAACCTATGCAAAAAGTTCGATTTGAATACCTTGAAAATATGAAAAGTTCTATCATTTCTGTGCTTCTTTTAAGAGGATAAGGGGATATCCGTAAATTTTATTTTGTATCAGATAAAAAAAATTTCATAGCAAATGACAACAAAATACTATAAAGAAAGAAAACATGCAAAATAAAGCATACTTGCTTTAATTGGGTGTGAATGTCATATTAAATAATTTTTATTTATTAGTACAAAATATAATTATGATGTTTGACTTCGGTGACCTACAGGGGATCGTATCCACTGTGAGACTTGATATGTATGAGAAATCACATAACTTAAACACTTATAAAGATATAAAATGATTATCTAAGTATTTCTTTAGAAATAAGAAAAAATTGGTATGGAAGGGTTTTTTATAATGTTGCCTGTATTTCATTGTGAAAATACTTTTATGAAATGAATGAACACCAGCACAGATCGTTACAATGAGTTCAACTACCTAAAAAAAACAAAAAAAAACATAGATGTGTTGTAGACTTTTGCCTCAAAGGTCATTCAAAAATCCTCGAAAGAAAGCTATTTCCTGACACTCTGACCATCAAAATCTACTTGCACCAACAGTGAATCAGGTAGGTATCTATGTCTTTGAATACTAATGAGCAGTAACTAAACAAAATAAACAGATTAGTGAGATGTACATTTGGATTACATTAACAGATTACCTTAAACAAATTTAAGACAACAATTATCAGTGTCGCGACATTTTTTCTGGAAGTGGACAGATCTAACAGTTTTGAAGTTAAAAGTGTTTTATGCGTAAAATAAGATAAAAAAATGTCATTTTTATACATGAAACCTTCTTACCTCGCAGCTAATTGTTATAATAATGAATGGTTAGCGTAAAAAATTCATAAAATCTAAACATTTGCTTTTATATAGAGCAATGCAGAGGTATTGATAGGAAAGTGCAAAAAAAAGCTCACAACTGTACTAGTTAACAATAACTTTAATAATTTGAACTGTTAGTGTTGAACTGGCAATTGCTCAAAAAAAAAAAAATTGGAATCCATACTTCACTTGCCATGACAGATGTATAAATAAATATGTATGAATTAGAGTTTGCTCAGAATTAGTTCTATCGACTAGGGTGTGGTTTTGTTTGATTAAGTGTAAAAATTACACTTCACCGTGCATATCATTTGTCATGATAGTAATTTCTGACCTTGGTAGAAAGTGTTAACTTTAGATATTTACATTGAGAATAAATAACATTTTCCAGAAAAAATTTACATCTTCCTTGTGATTATTTCTGTATTTAACAACTCAGACACATGCCTCAAAGTTTAGGGATTTATCATAAAAAAGTAACCATAGATTTAGTTTCTGCTATACTTAGGGAAGCTAATTTCTTTTCCTTCAAATTTCCCACATGTTGACATAAAAACAAAAATTATGTAAAATTTCAGTTTCTTGCTACTTTAAGGTCAAATACACCACACATATTTAGATTTTTTTTGTTTTGTTTTTTTGTATTATTTATCAGTATGTATTCATTGAAAGACTTACCCGTGTGGCACATTGTTGACGCAAGTCAAAGGAAATAGCCTTAACTTGAAGATTTTTGAATGACTTTTAGGGCAAATTTTCCATTTTAAGTATTTATGTTTCATTAGTTAGGGTGGAAGTAGTAGAACAGAAAATAGTGGTCAGTGAATATGTTTAAAAAAAAAAAATACTGACTGCATCATGTAAATTGATGTGTTTTTCCCCAAAAAAAGCATTATAACAGTTTTACAGAGAAGAAAAATACTTGAAAATTTTAACAAAATCAAAAAAGTATCCAACCCTGCTTTAACTCTTCAAAAAACTAGCTCTTAAAATTAAAAACATCTTAATATGTAATTACAGTTTACTCATTTTGCACTTTTATAACAATATATTTTGGTTAGCATGTTTTCTAACGATAATATTTAAACAATGTAGCTTTTGTTTACTATTCATATTTTTTTATAAAAAATAAATTTTCTGATTTATTTATTTTTATATTTTATCTTTAAAAAAATACTTCGAAAATGCTAATGATAATTAATTTTTTAATAATGTGATTCGTTGATTGTGTAATGCATTTTGTTGAATAAAGAAAAGCATTCAAAATTAAAGAATAAATTTCATTAAAAATCAGAAGGATACTTCAGTTCATCATCATTCTCCTTTATTTTTGATTTTCCTCTTTTCTTCGGCCCATTGCTTTTCGTAACTTTGAAAGCCTGTAAACATGACAATTATACAAAATCATATGCAATATTTTCTATTTATATACAGGATGATATAATAGACAACTTTCCTCTTGTTTTTAAGTCATTTTATTTATACACATTGGCTTTACTTAAATGGATTTAATAATGTAAAAAACAGAGCTCTTTCTAAGAATAAAAAAGAGCATTTTGAAAGGGCATCACTTAAAAGTGAAAAAATTATCAAATTGCGTAATTTTATGTAATAACTGTTTTCGATCCTTAGTAGTAATTAAATTACCATCTTATACTATTTTATGTATAAATTTCAAAAAGTAATTATCAAAACAAGAGAAAAAGGAAAATCACTTATAAAAATTTAGCCAGTTGAGAATAATTCTAACAATGTAAATATTAGTAATAGTAATCAGATTTAAACCTATAAACATAGATAAATTTACGTGAGTAATAATTTAAACAAGAGGAAAGTTATCTACTCTCATTTAGTTTTTAAAATGCTAGGTTTTTAAGGGAAAGCAGAGTATTTTTACAAAAAGGGCCAATAGGGAGCATTTATAAGGATCAAAGGGCAGACAGGGCAGGCCACCCTTCTAAAAACGCTCAGGGAGAACACTGGTAAAAAATAATAATTAAATATAAATAGAAGAGTAATTTAGTATTATTACTAACCACAATTAATAAAATACTGTGGTGGCTCAAGGGACAGTGTTAGCCTTCTAATGAGGTGAACCAGTTTCGAACCCCAACGATGGCTGGTCGATAGGAATTCTGCTTTCAGCTTGCACTGATCGCAGTGCTGACGTAAAATATTCTCAGTGGTAGACGGAAAATGGGTTAGAGTCCCCTTGCAGTCAGACTAACTTTGGGAGGTTTTTGCGGTTTCCCTCTCCATGGAACACAAATGCGGGCTAGTTTCAATAAAATGTCCTCCACGAAAGCAAATTTCTCCTAATACTTGATTCATTAGTTCCCTTGTCTTCTGGATTGGGTTCAAAATTACAAGGCTACAGAGTTGAACATCAGTAGATGTAAACCCAAAATTGGGCCGGCTGTCCAACGATGATTATAAAAGAAAAATAAAATCATGGTAAATTAGGTGGACAGATAGCAAATGACCTGAAAAATAAATAAGCAAAAAAAAAAAAAAACTTTGTATTTTTGTTTTCTTTTTTTGAGTTACAATTAAACAGCTGTTAAAAAAAATTTAAACGCGACTGCTTTATATCCATCTTAAAATTCACAGAGATTAAAGTGAAGTTTGTTCAGACCCTGATAAAAAAAATAATATAAATAAGTGATTTTTCAGTTTTAACTTGCTTGTTTTAATTATTTAGTTTTGACGTAGAATATTTTAAAGTTTGTTAAAGAGGGAAAGATAATAAAAATGTTTTATTAAAGGTTTAAAATGCACATAAGAGCTATTTTTCTTAATCTACATTTTTTCTGTCTTATATTTTTGTATATATGAAAAAAAAAGAAGAAAAAAAAAAGTTGATTTTTTTTAAAAAAATGAATAATTCATATTAAAAAACTGCCATTGTTTCCTATGAATGCCAAAGGAAGTAGACAAATGTAAGACTACAAAACAGCAGTAATAAAAAAAAATATATATATAGAATCATACCTCTAACCAATCTCTAAGGTTAATTAACTTTCCAGATTCAAGATGCAATTTATACAATAAACTAATGTCAGGTAGTGATGCTTTAGTCTCCTCGGGATCAGAAATCTTACAGCATTCACACTACAAAATATAAAGTAGACTTAATTTGCAAATTAATAAATAAATTAAAATTATATAAATTGAATTTTAAATGCATGCAAAACCCTTAAAAATGCTCATATTTTCCCTACAGCAGTGGACAAGCTATTTACAAAATTATTAATGAATCGACAAAATTGTTTATTATTGCCATTTTCAGAATGACTAAAAATAAATATTTGTAAAAAATAAGAATAAATTTTTAAATGAACAACAGAAGTGCGATTTTGGATTTTTATAAATGAAATTAAATTTGTGTAAAATCATTTCTTTTCATCAAAATGAGAGAACAGTAATAAAATACCTAATTAAAATATTAGTTAAATTGGAATGAATTGAACAAGTGTTTGTAAAGCATCAAAATATTTTGGCTTACTTTGGAATTTTTAAGTCCTCACAGGAATTAAGTGATTATGTAGTGTATAGAGATTTTATTCAGAAAATACAAAACTGATTTTTGAAACTAGAACTGAGTGGTGAAATAATGTGAACTCTGCAAAGGTATAAATTTTGCTTCACATATACAGCTTAAATATCAAAACTGTTGACTCATTTTGAAAGGCTAATCAAACTTTTTAGAAATAAAGCTATTGAAATCAATAGAAAATCTACATTACTTAAAATAGAATTTAAAGCAATTACTGATACTCTTCGATAACTTACAAACCTTTAATACATGCTAAAACAGTGTTGCCACTCAAATCTGGAAAAAAATTCTCTGTGTCTTCCCTGTATATATTATACACAAAATATTAAGAGGAAACACACCAATTACTGTGCTCTTGTGTGAGCTATATTGGGCTAATTATATTTATTAGTTTTAAATGCTGGCAAAACGTAGAGAAAAAAAAGGAACAGCTGGACATACTTAAATAATGCTAGAGTAAATGAAATAGTGTAGTATACTTGAAATGTCCCATAGATTGGGCAGATAAGATAGCTTTAAAAAAATGGTGAGTGGTCACCATTTTTCTAAAGGCAAAAATAAGAAACAAAATTCCCTGTATTTTCCCAGTTCGTGAAGAAAGAATAGAAATTCCCTACATTTTCCCTGTTATTTTAGGTGATTTTTAAATTTCCTGTATTTTCCAGGTTTTCCCTGTTCTTCCTGTGGAGTGGCAAACCCTGTTAAATAAATGAAGAAAAAAAAAGATTTAAAAATGTTACTTTTCAAAGTTTTCTCCTAAAAAAATGTGTTAACACTTTTCTGAGTACACTTCTGACTCACTTTTCAAATGAGAAGTACACTAACCACAGACATAAAATAGGATTTTTTGCTTATGCACAATATTTAATATTAAATTTAAACTTAAAATACCAATGATGTTACAATACAAAACCTTAAAATAATGCTGAGGATTTGCCAGAGCATGACAAGCAGTAACTCGAGGAACGGCCATTAAATGCTGCTTTACAGAAGCCACATTATCAAAGTAAAATATCTCATTCAATGGAAAAGTAGATGGAGGTCTAATATACCTGAAACAAATTTCAAATTTATTAGAAAATTTAATGAAAATTTATTAAATTTCAGAGAATAATCAAATGTTGAGAACAAATTTTGTTTTAAAATTTGTGCTTTGCTACACAGATTTTAAAACAAATAAGAATTATTCTGAATCTATTTAAAGCACTATTAGGACAAATTAGAATGTGGTTGAAACAGGTTTAGAATGATTTCAGACAAAAATGGAGCACCAATTGCATTATAAATATTAAGAGCTTTAATAAATAGCTATTAAAATGTCCCTTTAAGTTAAGGTAATTTTTTTAGGGAAAAAAAACAGCTATTAAGTGTTTCTTTGCACAAGCTTCATAATGACATAAAATACTTTATTAATATTTAATTACACAAACACTGCATCAAAGTTTGAAAGAAAATTGCAACAGTGCAAACTTTAGACTTATAGACTCTGGAAATATTTTTAAACAAAGAAAAGTTAAACACTATAGAAGATAAAAATTGAAGAGTTAAGAAAAACTTTTAGAGTACTTGAAAAATGCGTAGCACTTATAAGAATGAAATTAAAATTAACCAAAAAGTCTTTATCCATCATTAAAGATTTCTTGTCTTATTTTCATTTGTAAAGCATTTTATCAATAAAAAGTTACTGTAAATCTTTAAAAGTGTAGAGCAACAATATTCTAAAAATGAAATTTGAGGTTAACATAAAGATAAAAGTTACAGCACATTCTTATTTATTTCCTAATGTAGATTTATGAGAGTAAGATATTTCATTAATTTCAATACATTTGTTTGTTCATCTACATTCTTAAAAGTCACTTTTGAATGATGGAGAATTTTGTAAGACAAGTTTTTTAAGGAAAAAACAGTCTTGAAAAGTACTTACTTTACAATAAAAACAATGTATGCTTAACAAAAATAAATGGATAAAATTTGCTTTGCAGTGAAGGAGAAAATAGGAAAATACATATCCAAAGCACAAATAAATAAAATTAATAAATGAAAACAATTTCGACACATATTTTTTATAATATAATACATTTAAATTAATGTGTTTTTTAATAATTAGTAAACATTTGCAATGAATCTGCATTTGTGAAAACTATTAATTATTCAAACAAGTTTTAACAAAACTTCAATGACAAGATTTAGAAAACTTCAATGACAAGTTATTACAGTAAATTAAATTTTCATGTCAGGTCTAAGCACCTAAAGACTATACCCCACCTGATAAAAGTAAAACCATAGTAATTATTTTAAATTATTAGTTGTTATTCTAATAAAATTAGGCATAATGAATTTTTAATATGTGTAAAAGAGAATTTCAAGCAAACACTGATTGTTACTCAAAAGAGTTATTTGCATAAATAAAGGAATGTCCTATATTCATCATTATACTAAATAATTATAATTTCTTACTTAAATATTGACAATAAATCCTCTATTATTTCATTTCTCAAAGCTTCATAATTGGAGCGCTTTTGTTTTATGCTTTTCTGGATTAGCTAAAATATAAAAAATGAATTTATGAAAACAGAAAAAATTGTACTGGTAAAAGTCTAATACAGGCAGACCTCGATATAAGGTCACCCTAAGGAACATCGCAAAAGTGACTTTATAAGCGGGGTGACCTTTTAACCGATTCATTAGCAGTTCGTTACTAAGCACAAAAATAGTACACATTATGATTTTTAAAAAATGGTAATACAAACGAAAACGATTGACCATAAATTAAAATTAGTAAAGAATTAAAGAAAGTTGTTTTCTAGATTTTGTAACTTCTCAAAATGTTCCTCAGCTCCCGGTTTGTAAAAAAATTTCGTATGACATTTATTGCATTGAAGGAAGCTTCCACTTGGGTTACAGCTATAGTCTCAGGATCACTGCCATTGTCCTCACTGTTCACAACTTGTGAAACAATTTCAGAAATTGTAGCTTGTTCTTTGGCTGCAGCATTTCCCCAGAACTCAAGAGGGGTAATTGCCTTGTAAGGACGTTAAATAAGTTCTTGTTAGAAAAGAGCCCCCCCCCCCTCAGATANGCTTTTTCCAAAATGCGAGAAATTCGCGAATTTTGAAATTGATTTATAGAATGCGCGAATTTCTCGCGGTAATCATTTTTTAATGCGAGAAAAGAAAAAAATATGCGAGATTCTCGCGTTCTCGCGCTGTAGTGAAAACACTGTTTATATAAATTAGGCTGCAAGGTCAATTTGAGCACTAAATTAAAAATTACAATTGGTGTAAAAATATTTTTTAGAGAAATACTTTCAGTACCTCTTGAAATTGAAATCTACTGGTGATTTTTTCAGTTTGAAGGGAAAGAGGATCTTGAATCTTCTTATCAAAATCACCTGAATATAATAGAAATATACATATGTGTGTATATATAAACATTTTAGAAACAAGGTGAAGAAACAACACTATTAAAATATAACTGACTCCAGATAGTGTAACATTCAAGGTTTAGTTTTAACAGTCTGTCAATTATTCAATTACAGTGGTACCTCGAGATACGAGTGCCCTAACATACGAGTTATTTGAGATACGAGCTATCGAACGAGTGAAGTTTTGTTTTGAGATACGAGCGACATTTGAGATACGAGGAGCGACCATGCAAGTCCTTCTCGTCCTCGACAATGCTCCTGCTCAACCACCGAACCACGAACATGACATCCTCGAAGAGTTCAAGTTTATAAAGTTTCTCTATCTAACACCACTCCTATCCTGCAGCCCATGGATCAGCAGGTGATTTCTAATTTTAAAAAGCTGTTCACTAAGCACCTGTTCCGGCGCTGCTTTGAGGTGACAGAGAACACAAACCTCACCCTTCGAGAGTTCTGGAAGGACCACTTTAGCACCTCCTTGGACAGTTTCTTTTAATCCGGCTAAAAAAGCAAGGACCAGTGAAGAGAAAAGCAGTGACTGAAATTAAACATGCAGTAGCATTTAAGTTGTGTGTAAGTGATCAAAATACAAAATATGTATTTACACTTTGTAAAACCAGTTTTTTTTGCTTTACATTCTCTTTTATTATGTTTTTATACAATATTTGTCATTTATAAATACATTTTTCTTATTCAAAAACACGTAACGGAAACAATTGGGGGATAGCATTGTTGGGGCTGGAACGGATTAATGGCATTTCAATTAATTTCAATGGGGAAAATTGCTTTAAGATACGAGCAAATTGACATACGAGCAAGGTTACGGAACGAATTAAACTCGTATCTCGAGGTATCACTGTATTTGATTTCTACAATAAAAATAATAGATTTAAGCCACTAAAGTTAAAGAAAGAGTATGATAATTATCCACACTCTTAAGGAGCTTTTGAATAGTGAGAATAAATGTATGTACATAATGAAACCTCATGTTAAGGACACTCCTACAAAACGGACGCCTGTTATTACGGACATATTTTTTATTCTCCGTGAATCTTCTATGAATAAACCATTATGTAACCTTTTCCGCAAAATGAACACAACCCTAACTGGACGCAGACAATCATTTATGCCCTGAAATGCTTTTTTCATATTTTGGACAGTGGCATCTTTCGATCTTTTCATCTGGATGACACTATTTGAGATTCCACAAGCTGAAATGCCTTAAATGTTCTCAATTCTTCTTCCTCACAAAAAATTCCTTTCTACTTCTAAACAATTTGGAGACTGTATTTAACACAGCTGGATTAAAAGAAAAGAAAAAAAAAAGAGAATGGAAATTTAGTCATTGAAGTGTTCATACAAATTAAACAATTATTCAGACATTCAACAGATGATCAATTGTGAATATAATAACTCTTTAGGGCCTCACAGGCATGCACTGCTGCTTTCTTTCCTTCTGTGCATCTTAGGAAGTTTATTTTCAGGGAGGTATTAACCATGTTTTCCTTTAAGTGATGGGGAGGTGTTAGGGGGTGTAAACCTAATATTTAAACCGACCAAGGAAGTGGTCCAGGACTAAAAGTGTCTATTCACTATCTAGAATTTATTTACATCTAGAATTTATTTACATCTAGAATTATATATATGTATAAAACTTTTCCATACATTCTTTTTGTATTGAAAAAAAATATTTTTTAAAGTCTAATAAAGATAATAAATAAAAAAACTAATAAATTATTTAGTAACAAATATCATTTATTAAAAAATGATGGATAAATATCATTGTAAATAGTTATTGTAGATTATTACATTATTTCTATATCATTGCAATTATTCTAAGAACAACTTACCGCATTAAACTTAGTTATTAGTGCCCTCTTCCTGTAAACGGAAATTCTCGTTAGCGCGAAATTTTTTCGCTCTCAAGAGAGTCCGTTTAACTGAGGTTTCACTATATATAACCTTTTTAAAGAAAGTAATAAAAAATTTAAAATTTTTTGGAACAAGTACTTAAAAATAAATTAAACAAACAAAGGTTACATATGTGAATGATAACTATTGGATGTTTCTTGGTATTAAAAATAATTTTAAAGCTTTAAAATTATAAATGTTTCATAATTTTACTTAATAGTTCAAATAAAAAAACTGATTTGAAATAAAAAATGCTTTTAGTAAAAAAAAAAAGATTAAAAAAGGGGCAATTTAAAATGTTTGAGATGCATCAGTTTTATATTAAGTTATAATTATATAATCTGTAAATGTGAAATTTTTCAAGCATTATACATTGGGCTATATTGTGCAAACTTTTTCCATATAGTCGTCTTGTTAATGGTAAAACCAGTGAAACTCTCAGTGTGGAGGACAGTCTAGATTCACAGAGACAAAAAAAATCATGGATGGTGTGGGGGGGGGGGGGGAAATCATCAACACTTTAGTAATTGAAACAAGGTTTCCACATTTACATCAAGGCAAAAATTAAGGACTTTTAAGGACACTTTTGAAAAAAGTTAAGAATCTTAAAAATAGTCATTTATCATAATATGTACATGTAACAAGTAACAGTGCCAAACATTTACTTTTCTAAAAAAAAATCAAAAATCATTAAATTGCATGACTCTTCCACGCTATTATTTCCTTCAGGACTCTCCACATGGGGTCTAAATCCAGGAGAAAAGAAGAAGAATAAAGAACAGTATGTTCATCTCTTTACCAGCTCAAACACAAACTTTTTTTGTCTCTCAAAGACTGTACCCTCTATCCAAGGTCTCACATCACTTTTTTTTTAAAATATTTTAGTAAGACTAAAAAATTGTTAAAATTAACTAGTTATACTAGAAATTAAGGACTTTTAAAGACCTTCCAACCAAAATTAAGTACCTTTAAGGGCCCTTATTTTCCAAAATAAAAATTAAGCAGATTTTAAAGACTTTTAAACACTGATAAAGCAAGCAGGACTCATAGCAAATATCGAAGCTCTGTCAAAATCTTATGGAATTCTCTATTTGGGAAAAGAGTTGGGTGAAAAGGCTGAAAGATTAATACTTTCTCCTTAACTACTCTATTTATCTGCTATTCAAGTAAAAAAAATTAAAAGCAATATATTACTGTGTCTTTTATGATTCTAAAATTAATAAAGTGTTGATGATTTCACACCATGACTTTTTTCTCTCTCTGTGATAAAATGGAATCTAGACTGTCCTCCATGTTATACCCACTGAGAGTTTAGCAGGTTTTGCCATTAACAAGACTGTATATGACTGACTATAACAGACTATATATGGCAAGACTGTTTAAATTATAATTTAAATGTTTTAAGTCAACTGAATTTTTAAAAAAAAACCCATTGGTTTTAATTAAATTTTTTTAAAGAAAAATCGCTGATTAAAATTTTACAAAGTATTTCATTATTGCATTATTTAAACTTTTTAAAAATAGATTTTCAAAATTATATTAATAGAAAACATATTGCTGTGTGTTTCGACTCACAAAACTTCATCAGTACAATTTACAAAAGTTTAGATATAACATTTTGAAAATTGTACAGTTATTTTGGATTTTTCAGAATGCTAACTAAGAACTTTAAAATTTAATGTAGTTTATTTTTTAATACTTAATAATGTAGTTTATTGTTAAATTTGATTATTGAATATGAAATTTTTCACAAAAAAGCTAGAAGGTAATAAATTTTGCTAATACCCAGCTTTAAATCACAGTTTTCAAAACTTCATCATTTCATATTCATATTGCAAATATATTTCTAAATCTTAACTCATCATTTTTTCCCCTACTTTTTGATTTTCATTTAAATTACTTTTTTTCTTTTACTTTGTGAAAACATGTGTGATTCTATTTTTAAATATTTGTAAACCAGCTCTTAAGCGATATTAAGTGAATGTTTGTCTTTTCAAAAAGCTTTAAAAAAAATTGTGATACTTATTTCGTGATTTCTTTCTTTTAGCCTCTTTTGTTACTATACCATAACACTATACTGTTACTATAGCAATATTATAGTTTCAAATGTATTATGACTTTTTTTAAATAATATTTCAAGTATAATTACATTTATAAAACTTAATAATAAAATAAAAGTTCTCTAAGTATCCTTACAAAAAAATTAAAAAGAAAAATTACTTTGCTTGCAAGTTAAGTAAAAATAGAAAGAAAAAGAAAAAAAAGAAAGAAAGAATGAGAATTAATGCAAACTTTTAGGAAAAAAAATTACTCACTTGTTGAGAGATTAGACAATTTTTGAATGCAGTTTTCCACAGCTAGTTGAGCATTTTTTATCACATCAAAGCTCAGTTCACAAGAAGCCACTTTTAAGACTTCAAGACCTGCTTGCAGCTTTTGCAATAAATTATTTTGGGATTGCATCCTAAAATATAAGAAATTTTAGATGTAAAAAAAAAAACTGTTAACAAATATGCATTAATGTCAAAAACTGTAATAAAATAGAATATGATGAACTGTTAATAAAAATAGAATAGAAACTGTCAATAAAAATAGAATATAATAAAAACTGTTAATAAAATTAGCCAAAACTGTTAATGAAAATAGAACATTCAATACTTCAGCAGTTTCTCAGCAGCAGCATACGAAGGAGACAAACAAATTTCTCTTTCTAATGACAAAGAATAAAGCTCCCGTAACTAAAAAGAAGATATTAAAGATATCTATTTTGCACATTTTTATTAAAAACTAATCAAAATAATTAAAATTTAAAGACATTAGAATATATGATTATCTAATTTACCTGCTTTCCTAGAGGATATTCAGGAAGATCTTTAACGAAACAATGCAATAATTTCAAAAGCACCATTATTACTTTCTGATCATCAAAAAGTTTTTTAATATAAGTAATAATAAATTCCTGAAATGAAAACAATAATAATGCAAATTAAAAGAAAGAACTCTTTTCTTTTTTTTTCTTTTCAAGAACTCTTTTATTGCCTATAAAAATGATAAAAGAATTATCAATAATGAATGCAAGAAACTACTAACACCACATGAAAATATGCTTTTTGCAATCTAAAATAACCCTCCCGAATTTAATTTTTCTGCATTTTACTCAGACAGCATTAGCACTGAACCGATGGTGTTTTGGTAGCAAACAAAGATTACATGAAAAAGATACCACATTTCTCAATAAAAAAAATGACTCTTTAGTATCCAGCTTATTATTTTTAATCTTAATCAGTTACCACTTCCATAAGAAAAGAATTTTTTTTTTAATTAATAAGTTTTCTGAAATAAATATAAAGTAGAACACTGATTTTTCGTTTTGCGTTGGAAAAAGAGGTAAAAATTGCATGAAATGGATCAACGTAAAATCAGGGTAAAAAATCTAAGGATATTTTACAAAAACAGACATTTACCGGACCAACTATTGAACAAAAATATTTCATCTTTACCTGTTTTTAGATTCGATTTCAATAAGAGTCTGCAACACTATCAATTTTTTATGCATTTACTTCTTGGTTCGCATTCACATATAAAAATTACTTCAGAGTTTCAATGCGCTAAATCGCTTGATCAGCTGTGGGCACATCCTGAGTTACTTCTTCTTAATTGTCTTCACCGTATTTATCGGAAGTGGGCATTAAATCAGATATCAAAGGTATTTGCGAAGTGATGAAATGTCAGTTACAGTAAATAAGAGTGTACCTTCAGCTACATAATCTTCTCATTTTGAAGAGCAAATGTTCTTATTGGATACTCTGAGGTTTGCCTTATTAAACCCATATTAACATGCATCTTTCCCTGTTTGTCAAATTTAAAATTTCCAGAATGTTTACTTTTGCTTAAGAAGCATCTTGCAGGCCCCTGGAATCGAGAAAAAAAGCGATTTATGAACCAGCTTTTTTATTTAACGTCTTTTTATTAAATCAGAAGATTCCTAGATCCAAAGGTTGGAATTTTCTGGTGCAATTAGCTGGAAAAAAAATTCACACAAACATTTTTCAATGTAAGTTAAAAATAAGAATTGGTTAAAAAACAAAATGATTTTTTATTTTTTTTGTCACAATTTTTAATCCAGTTTTTGAAGTAAATCTTTAAATATGGATAGAGAAAAAAGTTAAGTGGCATAATAGAAAGTTCGGGATATTCTAATTATTAGTGAATGAAATTTTCTCGAGCCAGCAGCAAATGACGTAAAAAACAGAATAAATTACAAAATGGATAACAAAATGTGGGGTCCCACTGTTATACTATTTGAAACATAAAATTTATTTTGAAACAGAAATGAAGCATAAAATGAATTGAATTCTTTTCTCAACTGAAACAGTACTGAAGTTTAACTATATAAAGTGTTTTTCAGAAGCAAAAAAATAATACAACATAAAGATCAGTAAATCTTTCAATTTAAAAAAATTTTTTTTTTGAATTTATCATTTTAGTACCATTTCAACTACCACTAGGACAGAATTGTTTTTGTGAACAACTTTTTCATCAAAGTAAACTAGCAACCTTACATGCAAACAAGTAGCTGTAACACAATTTTTTCGTAATATGCTATTTTCCAATTTTCATTTCAGTCTATTCTTTTAATTATATTATTAAATAGATTTTTTGACAAACTCTCTGAGTTCCCTATCTGATTTAGAACTCTGGTGTGATACATTTAAGAGTTTACTACACATTAAGTAGATGACAAAGCATATACTTTTGTTTTAAACTTTTGATCAATACATTTTCGAGCTTTTAATAAGAAAACGTTCTAAATGCCCACTTAGTCCAGAATGGTTGAGAGAGTAGAACACTTGACTTCTATAACAGGATTCATATTCAAAGAATGCTGACTGATACGATTTATGTAGTTAATTTTTTAATTTTATATGTGCATAAAATCCTTACTTTTGTTTAATTTAAAAAAAGAAAAAAAAATGTTCCAAAAACTTAAACATTCGAAAATAATTTTTACAACTACTAATTGCTATGTACAGGGTTCCCACTCTATGATGAGATTGAAATTCAAGGACTTTCCATGACTTTTCAAGGACCTCAACAAAATTTTCAAGGATCTTAATCTAAGACCAATTTTAAAAATTATTCTCTTCTATTTTACTAGAAGCAACAATGCTTGTTGTGGCAATAATTAATTTCAAATATAATACCTAAATGCTTTGCCTATATAGAGAGAAGAGAGTATATGTATTATGGACTAAAATTTATATTTTTTTAAAAACAACCCTACTGGTTTTACATATTAATTCACAAAATCATTTTCAGCACAATCTATAACTAATGGTAATGAGGTGTTAATGGTGAAATCCTTTAATCCTGTGTATTTCCATGTGAAGGCTGCATGAAAGACAGAGCTAAATCTTAGGTATTCCATATTCCATGACTATTCCATAACCCCCTCCTCTCCTCTATTAAACATCGTTTCTGAAATTATTCATCCATAATTTACACAACCTTCTCTAAATGTTATGCAGCAACAATTCTTTCTGAAAATAAAAATTAGAAGGAACATATCCCATTTTCACCATGTTTAAAAGCATTATTCGTTATGTGTAATCCACAACTGCCAATGAATATGACCTGGTGGGAATATTTCTCTTTTAATTCACACTGAAGCTTCTAATAGAATTTCCAATTGACATAGGGTCCATCCATGGATAATTGAAGTATTTTAGAGAGCTTTTAACCATCATCCATGCATTTGTAAAAAGAGGACAAAATATTTTCTGCAGTTCCATGACCCATAAATTGGGAGGTAAGATACTTAGTGCAAACTTTATTATCAATTCCTTACCATAATGTCCATCTGCTTAGATTGTAGAGACTGATTTAACGTCTCATCAAAGAGTACAGTGTAGCAATCAACATTCTTCAGCTCATTTATAAGAATCCCTTTGAAGTATAGTGCCAATCCAAAGGAGCCCAAATAGGCTCACTTTGTGGCACTACAAAAAAATTGTCTCGCTATACAGCTATCAGCAAACATTTTGGAGAACAATTTACTAATCCCTTCACAGGAGTTACATGAATAATTACTAGTGATGCACTTCAGACTCCAGAGAATTTCAGCATCAAGCACATTCCTTTTGACTAGATAAGAAGACAATGTTACCTCGGCCACTAAAGTTTCTGTTTCACATGGGGCACACAATGTTGAAGGAGTATTTACACCAGATGAAATAGATGTTCATGTCTTTGGAAAAAGAGAACTCAGGGCATGAGACTGCTTTTTTGTTTTACCTTTCTTTGATGCGTGATTTCAGAGCAAATTCTTCCATTTTCGCGATATCGATCTCCTTCATGCATAATCGGCACTTGGCTCTGAGCTTCTTTTCGGGCATCGATAAAATCCATTCTTTATAAGCTTGATTATCCATCCATTGGGGATTAAAATAGCACTTCCTAGGCAAAACTACATAACACAAATATGAAGCCGTGCCTTTGTGAATACGCTTTACAATAAAGTTTTGAAATGACGCAAACGTAAGGACAAGTGCGGATGGTAAAACGGCAAATTTATTGAAAACTACAAGGTACATATTGTTACGAAATTCGAGAGTATTCCAGTTTCGATAAGAAAAAAGAATATCTAAGCATATGTGACAGAGGATGAAGTGGAGTCTCGCCCCGAACGCATTGATTGTCTGCCGTGCTCCGCGCGCTTGGCAGACACCAAGACGCTAGACCCGGTTAGAAACGGTGGCGTTAAAAACCACGTGAGAGAGCTCTGGAACAAATCAGAAAAATCCGCGGGTGTTTTATAAAAAGGGCCGCCGGCAGTATTGGACAAATTCAAGGACCTATCAAGTTTTTCAAGGACCTAAGACGTTTTTCAAGCACTTTCAAGGACCTAAATTTAGCAAAAAAAAATTCAAGGACTTTCAAGGACTCTTAAGGACCGTGGGAACCCTGTATGTATTCATTTAATTGCTATGTATTGATATGTTACTATTCATTTTTAAGCAATTATAGTAAAAGGCTAATAATTTCTTAAAAATGCTTTCGTATAAAAATTTACATTAAAATAAAAATTACTATTTCAAATGAAATTTAATTAAATAAAAGATAAAAAAAAAGTAAAAAGTATGGCATATTGTGAAAAGTTTGCTATCACAACAAGTTATTAAGTCACTGTCAGAATGCTAGTATGAAAGATAAAAAAAAAATTGTGTCTTTATAATGGACCATAAATTACTAGCCCTCTGCTATTGCAAATTTTTTTTTGTGAAAACTGCATTTTTCATTCTTTATTTTTACTGTTTAAATGACATAGCTTCTAATATGCAAAGGAAAAAATCCAGTACAATTTACAAACTGGATTTCTAACTATTGTGTAAAAAATAAAATACTTTAAATGCATGAATTTTCAGAAATTTAATAATCAATAAAATACAAAAACTAAAATCCACTAGTACTTATAAATTTAAGTCCACGGGAATACTTTCTAAAACTTGAACATAAATGTATTAAAATCAATCTATAGATTGATTTTATTATTTTACATNGAATTTTCAGAAATTTAATAATCAATAAAATACAAAAACTAAAATCCACTAGTACTTATAAATTTAAGTCCACGGGAATACTTCCTATTCATGATTGACATTAAATAAACTTGAACATATATGTATTAAAATCAATCTATAGATTGATTTTATTATTTTACATTTATTTTTGAATTCATATATATTAATTAATTCATAAAAACAGATATTGGATTTATTTTAGATGGTTAAAACATGTTTGTTAATTAATTTAAAAATAGAGAGTTCAGACTAATTTTTTAATTAATAGTAAAAAATTCTTTTAATCATTTTATATGTAAATATTTCATTAATATTCGTTATTTGCTGCTCAACCAACCCTACATTTATTTATTTACTTTTTTTTAGTATCCACAAATTGCCCTTGACTTTTTTAAAATTAAACATCATTTATTAATATCCAACAAGTTCTTTCAATGAAGCATTTCAAATCTGTTCTAATGTACTTGCATGTAAATTTGAATACTAAACTAACACCAATTGTCATACATACAAGAAATCTGGCTTATTTTATTTATAATTTTTATATTAAAATAAATTTCAACATGAATAGAGACAAACATAGTGTGTACGGAAAAAAGACAGAATTATGATTCAATAGAGTTTGCTAGTAAGAGGCAGATAATTATTGAGGGGCATTCAAAGAAAATCTTAAAAGTACATAATAAAGTTGAAATTTGCTGACCTACGAAAAAATACCAATAATCTAGATTAATTTCTTTTTAGTAAGTTATGCATGAAAGGTGAGGTTAGAGATATGGGGATAATATAACAGAATAGTATATAGCTCAATTTCATTTACAAGGAAGAAAATTTGAAAGAATATAAAGTATGGGTAAATGAATAGAAATGCATGAGTCTCTGATGGAAAAGAAAAGTATATCAGTGAAATGAACTTTGAAATAATATTGCTAGTAATTACAAGTAAAAAAATAGTTATGAATTAATAAAACAATGATACTATTAAACTTGATTTTAGGCAAACAATATTTAACTCGTTTACACAAATGAAAAATACTCCTAGGAAAATCCAAATACTTTTTTTTACAATAGCTAAATTTTAAAAATTTTACATGAATACATTTAACATAACTGCTGAGGTTTCTTGTGATAGTCCACAGCTCATTTCAGTGGCATAAAACATTCTATGGCTCAAATGGAGAGAAAAAAGATCCTTCCCACATGCTCATAATCTCATGTATGAAAATATCAGAAAGGAACAGATTTTTATATGTCCTGCGGCAAGAGAGAGAAAGCGTGAATTTATTATTTTTTTCAAAAGCTAATAGGTAAAAAAAAGGTCGCTGATTTTTTGCAACTGATTGCAAAATATACATCTTTGCCTACATTTTAGCAAAAATAGTCTCCTTTCCCCCAAAACAGTCGTTTTAGTTGCGAATGGCTGCTCTGCAGCTATGAAGTGAAGAATATTACATGAAAGGGAAAAATGGAATACGTTTTTATTTATTTCTGTTATAAGTATAAAAAAGTGTGAAAATGAATTATTTAATCTTATTTTCTGCTTAGGATCTCATTAATTCTTAGAGAGCAAACACATTGGTGATCACCAGTCAAGTTATTGACTTCCTTACAAAATAAAATTTTTTCAGTTACTTTCTGCTATTTTTAGAAATCCAGTTTCATGCATAAAGGAATGCACCTTTTATTGATCACATAATCTTCCATACTCCTTTATTTTATTTTTTTGTCTACTATGCTCCTTTATTGAAAGTTCACTATTGAGATCAACATTCAATGTTATCAATGAGATCAAAAGTTATTGCATTAAATTTTTTTTCCTTGCAAATATATGTTATGATTTGGAAATATTTTGTTATTAACTCATTTAAATTTTAATGTTGATTGAAGTTTAGCACACAGAAGAGAATGTTATGAAATTATTGGCTATTTTAACATCAAATGTAATTGTTTGTAACAACAAGCACCCTGAAACTTTTATCTCTAATTATATATTGCCATTAAAGCAGACTTTTTACTGTATTATCAAGATAATTATAGATATAAAAAAAAGAAGCTGAGATTAATTCAAATGCAATTATGAGTACTTTACCTTTAATCCAGATGGTTTGCTTAAAGTGGAGAGAAGGCTTGGATTATTTTCTATATACCTGGCGAAATGAATGCAAAATAAGCATTAAAGCATTTTATTACAAACACTTATTCGCAGATTAATTATTAAAATAAATACTTTATTAATTTAAGTGTAAAATTTATTTTTTAATACTAAAATAATGAAAAATTTAGTTCAACACCAGATTGTTGAATACAATTCAATGCACATAAAAATTTATTTTAACACTAAAAAGACTTTATTCATGAATTATGTTTAGCAATCTGGTGCTGCACATAATTTTGTATACAAATATCTCGTAAAAGTTTATTATTCTAAAAACAATAAACAGTTTTTCGTGGAGGATAAGCATGGTACTAAGTATAGTTGTTCATCATAAAAGAGAAAGGTTTCTAAACAAATGCATTTATATAAACATTTTATTCCTTCTTTAAAAAAAATATATACATTATCTGAAAATTCTGATGAATGCTTGATATATAACATCTTAAATCACAAAACTAAATTCTTACAACTTAAGAAATAGTTTTAAGTTTTAAATAAAAGAAAAACAAGCTTTATGATAATATAAAACATAAAAGTACACATTATTGCTGTTACCCAAGACTTTTTGAATATCTAAAACGCTTGAACAAACATTAATCAATGATGTCAAAACAAAACTTTCAAAAGAAATTTTAAATAATTAGGTAAATAAAGTATTTTAAATGAACGTACACTCTGAATGAAGGAAGAGATCTGATAGCTTGTAAATCTTCATTATTCAATTCATCTACTCTTTCACTGATTTCAGACTCGTGACAACAAAGGGCTGCAAGTCTATTTTCATGCAAATGCTCAATAATGGAAAACTAGAAATAATTATAATATTTATTCCTTCCTATTATTATTTTTAAAAGTAAATTTCGATCATTAAACACAAAAAAAAAAATTGTTTCAAAATAATGAAAAACTTAAAAACGAATTAAGTCCAATTCAAATTTTTATCGTTGTGGTTAATGAATATCATAATAAATATAAATGTTAAATAAATTATCGTTTAGTAAAATCAAATTATTGAAATTTGTCCAAAAATTAAATCAGAATCATTGAACAGAATGTTTTTAAAAAGTAAAGTTAGTAGTTGTTAAAAAGTAATGTAGGAGTACCTGAACTTCAACCATAGCACAAAAACAAATATGACTAAAACTATTTACTAAAATAAAGAATTTCTTTTTAACACATAAGCGACAAAAATGGTAAATTCGACTATAATATTTTTAAATATTTTCATGTCAGGAAAATGTACCTAAAGTGGGAATGAAAGGTAGTTTATGCTTAATAATGTAACTTTTAACTAAGAAAGACAAAACTTAACATTAATGTTTGTTTTAAACATTATACCTTAGCAAGGTGCTGTATCCGTTTGGTAGAAAAATGTTGCCCTTTTGCTACACTTCGGAAAAAAAACATTTTGTCGTTTTAAATTAAACATTAGAACAAACATTAACATTAAGTTGAACATTGACAAAAGTCTAACATTAACAACAAGTTAAAACATTAGAACAAACAAATATGCTTTTGAAGAAAATTTTTTATTTTACAGCCCATTCCTAGATTGATTGTTAGATATTACTTACTTTTAAAAGGTAAGACAAATTTGATACAGAGAAATCGTGGTAAAGAACTGTATCAATTATTAGTTTAAACACTTTTGGACCAAGCTTGAATGGTTGAACGGGTGATATAACAACCTAAAAATGAAAATTTTAATAATTAAAGTAGAATGATAATGCATATTTTTCAGCATAGCTTAGTATATTGTTAATTTTAAGCTAACATTTTATAGACTAGTTAAATATTTATATAACTGTCTTCATATGATTTTTTGAGTAACTACAATATTAAATTGAATTAAAAGTTTTTTAATGACTAAGTTACATTACAGTATATAAAAACCTAATTCTAATTCAGAATGTTAGATCAAAGTTATTTAGAATACATTTCTTTCTTTCTTTTTGCAAACTGTACACTGACCAGACAGTCACAGATGGGCTTTTCTTTTCCTTAGAATTCCATTTCATATCCCATGTTGAGGATCTTAAGTTTGTCAATCTAATAGTTTTTATTTCTTTATCCAAGCAGCCAACAAAAGTTTTGTTCGCTCTCTTTTCCAGATATCTGATGGTTTAAATACAATATTTTTAGTGGCATGATTAGGATCCAATCTTTAGTGGCGGACAATAAAAAATTTGCAATGTCTGATGATCAGAAAATAATTTTGCCAGATTATCTGAGGTGTTTTTTTTTTTCCTTTTTTAACAGGTAATCCATGGATTCAGTTTTCCTATGGATGAAATTAGAATTTATTTTTGCAATTAAAAAAAAAAAAAAAAACTGTTAGCAGTTGAGACTCAGTTGTTAACCACTAGTGTTATTTCATTAATTGTGTTCATTTCAGAGTGTAAATGTTTGAAGCTACAGAGAGTTTCAAACCTTTACTCTCTTTTTTCAAAATAAGAATTATTAAAACTGATACACGTTTGTTTGGACACACGTTGAAGTGACAATAAAAATGTCATCAGCAAATGCAAATCCCTAAAGAAAAAAGAGCTCAAAACTGCAAAATATCTCACAGAACAAACAAAATCTCTGCTAAATAATTTATGCTTGGATCAGAACTATTTACATCCTCAGTTAATGTTCGAAGCAGGATGTTTTAAACATTGTTAATAATTTTTGTTTCACTATGTAGATGTTTACTCACCATTTGGTTAACTAAGATTCCCTTACTTTAAAAAGATGTATAATAATTAAAGAGAGTTGTCCTTTTTTAAATGATACCTGCAGAACATAGTTGTTTATGTCTGACGATGCCTGCAGAACATCAGATATTCTTGGGTTTTTCTTATTAAAATCTTTTTTTACCTTCTGAAAGGCAATATTGAAAAGAAGACTCTCCCTATCTGAGTCTATTTGGAAAAAAATTAAAGAAACAACAGATTTTGACAGGTTCTGGATTTCGACCTATAGCCAAATTTCACTTAAAATAATGGGGACTAGATTGTACATTACATAACTGGATAATATTTTGCGACCAAGAGTTTTTATTTATTTAAAAAAAAAATAATTAAGCATTAATAAAGGTGTTCAGGAATCTTTATAAAAAATTTTTAAAAACCACAATCAAGACTTAATCTTTTCTTCTTCAGCTAAGTAATTTGCCACAAACAAGCCTCAAATTAAATATATATATATATATTTAAGTGTTAGAGTATTCAACATTTTAATATAATCCTACTCAAGATTTTAACTAACCTAACAAAAAGATTATCTGAAAATGTAACTTAATGCAACAATTCAATTGTTTTCTACGAAAAAAAATTTTTTTTTAATAAATTTATTCGGATTTCTACAACAAAAACAGAATTTTATGATGGTATTTTTAAATCAATTAGTAAAATTAATTAAAATAGTTTAACAATAATAATTCACTGAAACTATAACTAATGGTGACATTACTTAATTATGGTTTCGATATCCAATATTAAAATTACTCTATTTTAATGGATTTAAAATTGTATAGAAAAACCTTACAAATAATTTAATTAAAAAACTATTAATTTTTTATACCTCATCAATAACCCTGGTTAGAAAATCTGTGGCAGAAACTGAATGAAAAGTCTCAACTTCGAGACATGAATATGCTTCTTCGGGTAAAATATTGTGCAAAGATACCATGGCAGATGACATTCCAAATATTAGGATTATTGGAAGCTTAGCTGAATATAATCTAAAGCAGAGGAAACACAACTATAAAAATGTAATCAAAATATTTACTGCAAAAGAAAAATTTACAAACCAAAAATGTATTCATTAGATTATTTTGAAAATTATAAATGGTAGGTATTGTAATGTTTCAGAGCTTTTGGTGTTCATACATGAATTGATTAAACACTCTTTAATAGAATGTAAACAAATCTCTTGATTTCCCCCCCATCAAAATACCATAAGAACCCTTTATGGATGCTTATTATAAATGCTCCAAGGATTTACTGGTTTTTCATTATTAAAGACTTTCTATGATCTTTATTTTTTTGTTTGTACTAATTGAATTCTGCAACAAGAGAAATTTATTTTATTACAAGGAAAATATTATACAAATGAATTACATTTTCCATCAAAAATAGAAAATAAATTTTTTAATCCGATTTTTTTTTAAAAAAATGAATAAATAAATAAATAAAATAGATCAATAATTCATGTGACGAAAAATACACAATTATTTATCAATTTTATAATTATTTTAAAAATGATGATGTGAAAAAATTAACATCTTGAAAAGAGAAATGCATAAAACTATTATTATTTAAAGAAAGCTATCGATGATATAAGAAAATTCTTTGCACTTTAATATAATAAATGAAAAAACTCCTTGTCCAATGAATAAATTCCTCAGATACAATAATTTGATATTTAATAATTTGAAGTTTAAATAAAGCACATAATGTATGTGATACTGTCATATAAATTAAGACTCATTCATGCAAAACATTTACATTAATATAGTCTGTCTTTTTTTCTTCTTACATTCCTTTAAAAACTATAGAGTATGATCATTTCCTAATAATTATTTATCATTATTTTATCGAATTTTAATATTGTGACTGTATAATATTTTTTTAATGTTACTCATTATTAATATTTCTATTATTAATTTTGCTTTGTAGTTTTTATGCCTACCTAGTATAATTTTTACTTATACACCAAGAAGGTTTTTTAAATTTGAAAACTGGTTAAAAATTGCAATGTCACATTTTTAGTAACATAAGAAGACATGTTTTCAAACAATAGGCAAACGCTTATTTTTTTTAAACAAAACCAGAAATTTTTTTTTTTTTAAACTAAATAAATTTTTATACTATTGCAAGAATTAAACAGTGACTGTATAATATTTTTTTAATGTTACTCATTATTAATATTTCTATTATTAATTTTGCTTTGTAGTTTTTATGCCTACCTAGCATAATTTTTACTTATACACCAAGAAGGTTTTTTAAATTTGAAAACTGGTTAAAAATTGCAATGTCACATTTTTAGTAACATAAGAAGACATGTTTTCAAACAATAGGCAAACGCTTATTTTTTTTAAACAAAACCAGAAATTTTTTTTTTTTTAAACTAAATAAATTTTTATACTATTGCAAGAATTAAACAGTGACTGTATAATATTTTTTTAATGTTACTCATTATTAATATTTCTATTATTAATTTTGCTTTGTAGTTTTTATGCCTACCTAGCATAATTTTTACTTATACACCAAGAAGGTTTTTTAAATTTGAAAACTGGTTAAAAATTGCAATGTCACATTTTTAGTAACATAAGAAGACATGTTTTCAAACAATAGGCAAACGCTTATTTTTTTTAAACAAAACCAGAAATTTTTTTTTTTTTAAACTAAATAAATTTTTATACTATTGCAAGAATTAAACAGTGACTGTATAATATTTTTTTAATGTTACTCATTATTAATATTTCTATTATTAATTTTGCTTTGTAGTTTTTATGCCTACCTAGCATAATTTTTACTTATACACCAAGAAGGTTTTTTAAATTTGAAAACTGGTTAAAAATTGCAATGTCACATTTTTAGTAACATAAGAAGACATGTTTTCAAACAATAGGCAAACGCTTATTTTTTTAAAANTTCCGGTTTTCTGAATCGCTACAAAAAGCCGTTTTTTTTTATTGTTAAACCCAACTAAAAAAAAAAAATATTTGAAATAATCTTAAAAAGAAGAAAAAACGATGAAGTAATACACTAATGATTATTTCCAAAATGATGGTAAGGTAAACATCTTTCAAAAAAGGAAAAATCCTAAAATCTTATGATGAAAAAAAATTTTTTTTTTATAAATGGCCGGAAAATTTATCGAATTTCATTCCGGTTTTTTGGTTTCCCGGTTTTCTGATTTCCGGATAACGGGTTCTGTACTGTAATGGTTTTCCTTTTAATTTTTGTAATATTGATTTTAAATATAATTGATTAAATATATGATTGGTAATATTGATTAAAAATATGATTAGGAATTATTAGTTTTTTCTCTTAATAAGGCAAGATCCCGGTCAAGTTTTACTATTAATGATGCCACTATTTTCTGGCTCTTTCTCAATGTCTGTCCTTTTTTCCCCTTTCTACTGCGAAGTTAGGGGGTGTTGTTTTTATGTTTATTTCAATTTAGTTGTGCCTCGCATTCAGTTGTGTTATCTAGTTATTACATTTTTGATTCAAGTAAGCTTTTGTAAGTACTATTCTTGTGTATTTGTCTTGTTTTTATTCTTCTGTATTTGTTATATGTATTTTATATTATGTATTATATTCCTTTTCAGGACTTTGGCAAAACCTTTGAGGGAAATTTTAGACTTTTGTCGTGCTGTCGCGATACAAAATGTTTTGCTTTTATGACTTCCGGAGCAGGTACCCCTGAAGTTGCCAGCTTTGATTGTCATATTTATCCATTTTTCTCATATTTCACTGTTTCTTCATAAACTACAGCTTATTGATTTTAATTCCAAATGCAGGTTTTTAAATTAAATTAAATTAGGTTTTAAGACATGCAATATGTTTTTTTAACAAAATATTTGTAATTTCGAATTAGATTTAATTCAATTTTTGTTTTATTTTATGACAAATATTATTTTTAAGTCTGCAATTTAAGGAATAAAAATTCCAGATAAGCTCATAAATTCAATGAAAATCTTTAGTGTTAATGGAATCAAAAAAAATTTTATTTAATGATGATATACTCCCACTTTTACTTAAGATATAAATTAAAATTGACATGTATCTGATATTTAAAGTATCAGGTTTTTATAACTAATACTTAGTTGCATCAGTATCAGTTTGTACTTAATACCAAAAAAACAAATGATATTTACCCAACTCTCACCAAGTTTCAAAATTAATTTTTACAGCTCTCCAACAGATGATACTGCAGAGAATAACTATAAAACAATGTTTTTAAAACCAACAGTATTCGCAGCAACAACGTAGTACATCCTGAAGAAAAAATTGACTGCCCTCAATGTAAATTGTACTTATTGAATTGTACTTATTTAAAATTGTACTTATCTCTTCCTGTTTTAGTTATCTATTATTGTTTTTTCAAATCCATGATATTTTTGGGATACTTGTTATGTAGAACTGAATAGGAAAATTGATATTCTACCTGCAAATTAAGACTAGTTTTTTCAAAAGTTCAGCATTGAAATTCTCAACATCTTGAATAAGTAAAACAATTGGCATTCTTGACACATCCACATTATGTTGCTTCTTTTTGGGAGTCCTCTTTTTGTTGGACATCTACACAGACAAAATAAATTTAAACACTCTCTGACAAATATAAGCACCCTAAGAAGAATTTTTTAAGAAAAAAAAAACACTGACTTGTATTTATGATTTTTTTTCTAATTGTTTTACCATTATTCATAAATATAACACCTTCTTTGTGAATATGGAAATGTTAGAAAATAACACATTACAATTAAATGTCCATATTAAAGCAATCTAGTTAAAATACTCACTTTTTCAATAAGGTTTTGGTAGCACTGATACAATTTATCAAAAGAACAATCTTGTTTCTTAGGCAGATCATCATCAAAATTGAAATGCTGTAAAAAATATAAATAAAAAATGAATAAATAAACATTATTTTATATTCCAAATTATACATTGGTATTTGTATCGATGCCAATTAGGAATGAAACACTGCAATTTGTACTCAAGCAATTTCTAAATTATATACTGAGATTCCTATTCACATATCACAATTTATGAATGACAGACAATAAATTTTATTTGCCCAATGTATCAAAATTAAAGTCAATTTTAAAAGGAAGGCACAAATGACTTCAGAAATGTTTCTATGCTAGGAGAAATACTGGTAAATAGAATGTGTCAGTCAATCTAAATTCTATGATACTGGTAAAATAAAATAAATAAAACTTCTTATCTTGGAAAAGATGAAAGTGAAAATATTTTTTAACTAGAAATAGAATTCCACAATTATGTCTGATATGACACTGATGGGACATAAGTATAGAGAAATACAATTATAATCATTGCAAGGTAATCAAAACTCAATCAACAATAAAATGGGCAATCAAAAATAAGTCAGCCTTGTGTATGCATGTCAACATGGTAAAAATATATATTTGTGTAAGTTAATAATTGTTAACTTACAATAACATAATCAAGATTATGTAATTACAAGTTAAAACAAAACATTGAAATGAAAAAAAGTAATGTAAAAAGAAAAAAAATGTAACATAAAGAGTCATGCTGTGACAACTTTATGTTTTTTTCATATTGTTTTACCTTTATTTATAAACCAGCTGAATACCAGTTCTTCGTACAGGTTGAAAATAAGGCATCTATTAATTAGTACAGAACACAGCATGAAAATCGGGCACAAGACTTTCATACAAATGCCAACACAAATAATAAAGTTACAATGATTCCAATGTTTTTTTTTTATTCATTATTATTTGTTACTTTATTTTTTACCTTTCTCGGTTACTTTATGCAATTAGATTAAGCAAAAACACATTTTTTAACAGTTCACCCCTTCAAAATAAAGATTAACAGTATTCCGTATCATCTGCATAATGCTCTTTCCTGTACATATCTATCTATATAATAAATCGATCATAAAAATGTACAGCATAAGTGCTAACCTTCATTTTTTAAATCGTAGAAGATTTACAACAAGATTAGACTTAAAATACAGAAGATTATAAGCATTTTCTATTTTCATTCCTCATATAGAATTAATGCTACAGTTCTTGGAATATATAAATAAAATTGAGTTTTAATACAATCAGTTCAAATAAATCCAAAATCAACGAAAAACATTTTTTTTTTGTGCTATTAAAAACTTAACACCTTATATTTTGCATTAGTTAATTCCATTCAGCATCGATAAGCAAAATTTTATTTCAAATTTTCAAAATGCAGAAGATTTGTGTCAGTACGAAGATGAGGCAAAACAGCAGAAAGATTCTGAAAAATGAAGAGTTGGCAGCTATGGTACAGTATTGTTACAACTATAATCGGCACCAAATTTATTCTAAAACATGTTGTACCTATATATGAGTATATTTGGTATTTATCAAAACTTAACCTATTATCATAATGCCAATAGTGCTCATTAACAAAATTAAGCATCATTGATGTCAATAATGGCATGTTGATGGAACCCCATAACGAATATAGTAGAGTTTCTCAATTAATTTTTCTTTTCAGCTCAAAGAATATTTTTTTGTCATTTAGTATTTATTATCAAAACTAATTAAGCATTGACATCAATAATAGTTTGCTGATTTTTTATGTCCCTTAAACGAACTGAGTAACATTTCTCCAATCATTTTCTCTTTTAGTCCACAGCTAATTATTGTACTTTAATTAGTAATTTTCTAAAATTAATTATCCTAGCACCAATAATGTTAGTGTTTTTCATGCTTTTTCCTCATTGAATTAGTCCCATTTTTCCAATAATTTTACGAAACTTTTGTTTTCATATCAATTACCGTTAATTTTAAATTGTTTAATTTTGTAAAATCATGATTTAAAAACATAACTATAAACAAAATAAACACATGGTTGCAGATAAACTTAGAAATAATAATATGGTGATGTAGTTTGCTTTTGCTATCACAATCATGTTGATCATTCCGATAACCTAGCATAACAAATAAAATATAAGTATAACAGGAGGTGTAATAAGCAGCTTTTTAGTTTAGAGTTATAAGCTATAAGTTATCTTTAAAATATTTGAAAAAACTGAATTGTCCATAGCTTATTTTAAAACATTGTCTTCCATTAAGTCAAAGAGAAAATTTCGTTTTTTTTATTGTCTCTGAATTTAAAACATAATTTTTAAAAAAAAATCAAAAATCGGGCTTTGTAATTCGCTTATAATTTTACTTATATAGAGCTCTGTCCAGCTTGTTTCTGTCAAACTGCTTCAGATTATGCAATGATGATAGAATCATGGTGTTAATGAAATGATTTGGACTAGTGCATCAGAAATATAAATATTACGTGCCAAAAGAATTTTTGACAGGAGATTCAATGCAATTGGAATGACATTGGATTTTAAATTACAAGCAAGCTAACTAATAAAATATCCTGAGTGTTTGGTGGTAAAAGTGCCAATTTATTTTAAAGGCAGTCATTTCAATTATGTTATGGTTTGTTTCATGTGCTAAATAATGTATTGAGGTGTATCCCACTGCTTAAATAAAAGATTATATTTTTTACTATATTCTACAGAAAAAATGGATGCAAAAAAGTATTTTAAAATGAAATTAGTGCAAAAAATAAATTAATAAAATAAAGTAAAAATTTGATAAAAAGAAATCTGAAATGAGATGCAATAAACATCTTTTCAAAGTACATACCTGTTCAAACTTATCTAAAAGTTCAAAATATATAGTTTGCATGACTGCTAAGAAATTGTGGCACTTTTTAGATTCTAAAATAACAGTAGTGTATACATCATTTAGATGAAGATAGGTCTCTAAGAAATGGAAAATGTGGGAATGATCAGACATATTTACACCTGAAACACAAAGATTAAAGTTCTTATTTTTTTTCCAATTAAACACACATATGTCAAAGACATTTGATGTGTGCTTGCCACTTTATATTTACCTCTAAAAGTGATATGACAATACACATACATACACATAATGAAATATTCAATAATATCCAATTCGCTGAAGTTTTATGCAATTATAATTACAAAGTACTGTTTATAAAATTCTGCTTATTATTAGGCAATAGTCCTTTTTCAATTTATAAATAAACAAAATAATGATACCAAACGTAAATACTCATTAATTTTAAGTATAAAAACAGTACATAAATTTTAAAACATTTAAAAAACTTAAAATAATTTACAGTCAACAATGAAGCATTTAGGACAGAACCTACATCAGATACTATAAATTTCTAGATTATGAACAAGATTAATACAAGAATATCAGAACAAAAAGCTAAAAATCTGGACAAATATTTTTTACCAGGAAACTCAAGAATATCAGGATAACTACGAGTCATGCATAATTTAAATCGATAAAAAACTATGTATAAACATGTATTAATTATCTACTGGATAACTAATCAAATGCTAAAGAATTAATACTCAAACAACAACAGATAAGATAGTTTTATTTACCCATTACTAGAACAGCAGCAGGAATATCTTTAGGATCTGAACATGGAAACTTCAAACAACTTTGAACAAAGTCATGAATTGCTTCAAATATGTCAGCATAGGCTTTTTTTTCAATAAGCTAAAATTAAAAATTTCTAAAAATTCGTATTAAAATAATTAATTAAATTTAAACTACTTAACTTCCAACCTCAAACTCTACACAGAAAACTGGCTTTTTGTGCAGAGAAACTTTTGTACAAATTTGTTTAAGTAGCTTTAGTAACTAATTTTAATACATTTGAAATGAAATTTAAAATTAAAACCCAACTATTTAAACATTAAATAAAATTAGTAAGAGCAAAAAAGATGGCTTGTAAAGTAATCAACAGCAGGAAAAGCAAAGTTCATACTTAGGATTACATCTTGTAAGTATACATTTCTTTTGTTATAACTGCATGTTAATGAAAGTGATGTGCAACGAAAAACAAATATTATAAAGAAACAAATGGTGAATAATTTTAAAGAAAAATCATTGAAACACCACAAGAATGAAAAATATCTCAGTTAAAACAAGGGAATATTTTCTGGCATTAAAAAAACATCTGGAGTAAAATTTTAAACTATTTTACAAGTCTTGGCAACAGAAAGAATTCGGCTATGCTTTGAAAGCAATTAAAAATGTATTTTAGTAATTTTTTTTTTCCATCAGCAACAATAATTGCAAGTAGGTAAATTGACATCTGTGTTTGTGTTGTCATGGAAACGGTAATAATGGTGGAGTGCCAAGAGTAAAGGTATCGACTTTGCCAAAAATTTCCAACACTGTTTCTCAAAAAAAAAAAAAAAAAAAAAAAAAAAAAAAAAAAAAAAAAAAAAAAAAAAAAAAAAAAAAAAAAAAAAAAAANATAAAATTCTTAACAGAAAAACTGAAGTTTCTGAACCAGTAGATCTTTCGGATAAAAATGATGAAATTGTTGATTTTTAATGAAAATCGGAACTCCACAGACGAAGATGAAGAAGTAAGTAATCAAGTTCAAGATAGAAGCATGCAATTCATTAGATATTGCAATGAATTGCCTAGAACGTCAAAATGATGTTGATCCAGTTCAGTTTTTTTATTTAAAAAGATTAAGGGATACATGGCTGCTAAAAAAACGCATCTTCTTTGAAACGAAATCTTTGCTGGATTTCTTTTTCAATGGAAAATAATGAAAAATGTGGTAAAATCAGTAATTGACAAAAAAAATTATAAAAAACTGAAATATGATAAAAATAATTCAAAATAAAAAAAAAGTTTTAAAAACAGTTAATTAAAAATTGAAGAAAAATTTTTTTTAAACACGCCAAAGTTATTTTAAATAGTACTACCAGTCCTAAGCCTACAAAAGGTGCGAAGGGAAGTTAGTGCATAAATAATAATCATGTACACTAGATTTTAAACAGTTTTCCAATTATCCGAACTTTTCATTATCCAAACCATGTTGGGTCCCGAGCAGTTCGGATAATCGGCGCTCTACTGTACTTTGAAAGCAATTAAAAATGTATTTTAGTAATTTTTTTTTTCCATCAGCAACAATAATTGCAAGTAGGTAAATTGACATCTGTGTTTGCGTTGTCATGGAAACGGTAATAATGGTGGAGTGCGATAAGTAAAGGTGTTGACTTTGCCAAAAATTTCCAACACTGTTTCTTTAAAAAAAATTCTTTAAATTGCCAGAATAACATTTTCTCTGAATTCTGTACATTGGTGTTTTAAGATTAAAGGCCATTAGTTAGATGGATCAACTTTGAAGTGATGTGCAAGTGCGGAGGCTGAGTGTGTGTGTGTGGGGTGGAGATTGGATGTTTTTGAGGGCATTTTGTATTGGACGACAGTAGGTGTTTTGAGGAGTTAAAGTGGATTGAGAAGTTAGTTACACATGATATGAATTAATGGCTATATTGCAGACGTTCTAATTGGAAGATTTAATTAATGCTGTGAATGATAGATCCGTTAAAATGTTAAAGAATTTAATAAAAAAAAATAGAATAAGCTTAATAAAAGTCGGATACATGTTTTTTAGATGCGAAATTTCAATGTATTTACAGCTTATGTATAAAATTTTGCATCTTTTCTAATTATAAAATATTTATTTTTTAAGTTTGTTTAGACTTTATTGGCTTACTTTTTTCAAAACTAGTTTCATTGTTGTTGAGCACTATCAAACAAATCTGAATCAATGCTGAGCACTATAAACTAATCTTGTATCAATGTTTTTCAAACTCTCAACTCTGACTATGATTTGATACTATGTAGGTTGTCAATAATGGATATATTTTTAGCTATTTTGATCAGAATAATAAAAACTCAAATTTTAAATGAAGTGGGATTTCCAAACTTATTTTTAATAGCAATAAAAATGAGAAGAAAAAAAAACTAGGCAACGAAAAAAAAATTCTAAAAAATTTTACTGTAGTAATTACAAGTTCCAGATTTTAGCTGATTTAATCATAAATACAGAAAATATCCTTTTGTTGCTAGGCAACAAGCTAGTCTGGAGATTGCCCTGAACACTGCAAAAACATTTCATGTAAGCGACAAGAACTTGCTGACATACCATGAAAGTTAGGTAGTGCTCAATGCAGTGCCTAATTTTGGATAGACTCTACAATGAAGATACATAAATATCATAATAGATATGATATTACTAGTGAAATCAAGTAATCTACAAAAAAAAGTAATTTCTACTTTATTAAATTATAACATAAAAATAAAGGAAAATTTTAGGAACAAAATGATTAAAAGAATCATTGATTAAAAGAATCACTAACTAAAATAAACACATGTGGAAAATGTTAATGGTAATGAAATTGAAAAAAAAAGAAGAAATTTAATGAATTTATTGTACCTTAATTTTAGATGCCATTTCATCCCATAGAGCAAAGTTATCCTCATTGTGAATAGAACCTGCTTTATTAACTATTAAAGAAAATATTGATGTTATAACACAAACACAACATTTAATTATGACACATGTTAAAATGATGATAAACAAGAATTGATTCTAAAACAATTTTTTTTTTTTAAATTGCCAAAATTCGATGTAAATAAATATTAGATTAACAAGACAAACTCATATACCATTTTTACAAACTGTTTTAACCTCAACTAGATCAATTTAATTTTTGTGTACATAACTTGAATATTTCAGATAAGCTCAAATTTTAAACAGTTCTAGATTTGCAAGGATTCCAATTGAAAAATAAGGACCTTCAGAAAAAAAACTTTTGATAAATTTTTACAATAACAATTAAATCACTTATTACAAGAGAGTAGACATTTCAAGTTTGTTTTTTCTCAGAATAGCATGAAAAACAAAAATTTCAAATGGAACAAATAATGGTTAGTAAAACAATGCAAAAATTAAAGTATTTTTTTATGATTCATAAACTAAGTTATATGCTCTTCTTTTTTTCTTAAGGTTGTAAGGTTTTTTGCCTAAGGTTTCTGTAATAAGGTTGTTGGGTGTATCTTTTAACTCTGCAGAAATTTTTTTGCTTTTCTTTCATAAATGTTTGAAGTATAATTTAGTTAACATAAAATGTTTCTTCTATTCTATTGTAGAAAAAGGAACTATTACCAGAAATCCCTAAAATGTAGAGAAAAACTCAAAAGTTGAATCATTATTAAAAGTGGGGTAAGACCTACATGAAAAAGTTTTTACTTTGAAAAAATATTCTAAATTCAGACATGCAAAAAACTTTCCTACGTTTAGGAGAAACTTCCAAAATGCGCAATATAGACAAAAGGAAAAATAATGAATTAAATTTTAGGGACTAAAGGCTATTAAAAGCCAATGTAATCATTCAATACCTACTTACGTACTTATGATCATTTTTAAATTTTTTGCGAATTATACATTTTTCTACTATTGGATGATTTTCAGTTTCTGTTTACTTGAAATTGAATTATACTTAAAAAACATAAAAACACACATAAAAGTAATAAAATAATGAATAATCACCAAATATTTCGCTTCAGTAAAAGACATCAAATAAAAATTCTTTTTAGACACTTTTTAGTGATAAAAATTTCAATTAATTTAAATTAAACATGGTCATTTTGATAAAATACAACATTATGAGTAAAGCCAAATGCAAATGATGCACAGACATATAAGAAATTTATTTCTGTTTCTTATTTGCTTTATTTTTCAGAAATCTTTTTCTCCCATTTTCAAAGATCTTACGTTTTTTTTATTTTGTAACACAGAAACAGAAATATTTTCTTCGCTTTAATCAACAGAGTTTTTAAAATATATTTTTATTTTATTACAAAAAATTTATGCAAAATAGATGTAAATTATTTGTGATCAGAGCCTGTTTTTGGGAAAAGCACAATAAATACTGGTACTTTTCTAAGGCTAAATAAATACACAAGCAAAATACTTCATTCTAGTGATGGATAATCTAAAGTCATAAAATCTGCACATGATAAATCGGGAGAATGAAATTTATATTAATAGGCAATGTTTATTTAAGAAATTATTTTTTAAAAATCCTTTTAGTTAAAATTATTAACACTACAAGAAAAGAATTTTAGACAAGAGTCAATTAAAAGAATGCAAATATGATATACAATAATATGAGCAAGCATCACAACACTTTTCAAAATAATGATTTATCACAATATTTAAAATTATCAAGAACTACACTTACATTTCTTCTTCTTTAGTTTGGCTGGTTTGTGTGCATAACAAGACTAAAAGATACAAAAAATAAATTTCAGAATTAAATTTAGTTTTGATAATTCAGAAAATATCCTAAGCACCCTGAAAAAAATTTAAAGGCAAGTAAGATTAATAGTCTAACCTAAAATTTTATTACTAACACACGGTACAGATTCTGTAGATTAGAATTGTACAACCTTATTAGCAAGAAAACTGCAGATTTTTTTATGACTTTCAGAGCCACAATGCTAATATATGAATGAATGATGATGAATTTGATAAAATGGATGATTAAATGATGAATTTAATAAAAGTTACAAGAATTTTTCGAAAGTATTTTTGATATAAAAACCATTTGAAGAAATACACATATATTAGATTTAATAACTAGCTAAATTATTGGTTAGTCATCTATTTTATAGAGTAAGAAATAGACTGTATGGTTTACTTAATCTTACAGGTGCAGAAAACAGTCTAATAAACAGTCAATCAATAACAAGTTTATATGCTGAAAAGCTAATTAAAGTTCATTTATGTTTTAAATATTTCATGATAATTTAAAATGTTTTATTTTAAAGAACACTTAACTTAAATAATATTTCGTTAAAGTTAAGCATAAAATCAATAGTTGGGTATTTTGAAATAGGGTGAAACAATATTAATGGAAATATTTCTTAAGCCCTAATTCAAATTTAAACAAATAAAAGAAATGAAGTTAGAAAGGGAAATATTAGAAATTTTTTTAATGTATCAAAATTCGAAATGAGTCAGCCTAATTAATTTAACATGAAATGAATAAAATAGTTTTCATAACTTAATTGTTTTAAAAATTATTGACATTTTCATCATAATATATGTTATGAAAAAACAATAAAAAAAATATGTGACATTCATTAATAAATTTACACATCACAATTAGTGTTTAAATGCATCACAATTACACATATAATCAAATCATTATAAAAATAAAGCAACTCCAATAACTACATTAAAATCTAGCAGGAGATATTAAATACTTGTATTTGATTTTTCTACATGTAAACTGTAATTGATTTTCTACACATAAACTTTCAAAAAGTTTATTTCAAAATTTATATTGACGAAGATATTTGATTTTTACAATGAACAACCTATATGTCAGATGAAATTAATCTTAAATAAACTGTATGGTATTTTTCTTTGGAAAATGATAACCAAAATTAGCTTAATATTTATTTTAAATACTTAAAATCTAGATTCTGTCAACTTGTTACTTGTAAGTGGTTTCTACGCAATAATTTATTATGAAAGAAAGACTTTATTTATAGTTAATTAACAAAAACATTAAGAAGTCGGAAAACAAGATAAGGAAAAGATATAATTTTGTCATCGGCTCACACAATTATATAAGCAAAAAAGTGCTTTCTAATATTGTATTAATATAGCCAAAGCAAAATATGTCACCACAATAGTGTGAGGAGCACCAATAAAATTCAAACAAAAATAGAACAAATTAATCAAAAACTGCAAAATAAAACATTAGGCAAAAAATAGAAAATAAAAATACAGAATAAAACACAAAATGTAATATATAAAGTGAGTAGTGAATTCATATGTACTTCCACTTTTTTATAGAAAGATTTAAAATATTTTTGTAACAAGTTTGTCAGATTACAAAATATGAAATTAGATGTACAAACAGAGAATGATAGGATCATTTCATAGCGTGTTCTTACTAAAGGACAAAAGTGTGGTTAATTTGTTAGTTACCTTGGATTGGTGCAAAACTGGATATGTGCAAGGTAATAATATTATACTGGAAAATTCAAAGTTTATAATTAACAAGGTTTAATAGAAATCCTCTTAATTGCCTCATCATAAATAAAAACGTTGATAAAAACAAGTTTTTTAAACAAGAAAAATTAAATAGAAACCAAAACAAAAATAGCTATTAATTTTTAAACAAAAAATTTAACGCTGAAAATCTCAATTCAATTTTTTCCCATCATTTTTAGAAAAAAATGACGATAAAACAATAATGATCATTAGAAACGTTAATTAAATTTCTAGCGAATCCTGGCAACTACTTTTAACGAGTAATGTTAGTTTAGTATATAGAAACACGGCTCTAATACAATAATTTCTGAAATTTATGCGCATAAATCATTGCAGAACCATCAATGGTAGATGGAAAATGACCCTATGGCTGCAGCTGTATGGTAACAGGAATTACATATTTAGAATCCCGTTTAACAAATATTTTAACTAGCCATTACGAAAAATAGATAATTTCTGACTTAGGTCACGCTTTCACATGCTGATGTAAACTCTGGAAACATTGATGTTAATTCAAAGGAAGGGAGCATATTTTTGATGTACTCCACTTCTTAGAGAAAATAAAGGTGGAAATTATAATATTTCTTAGAGGAAATAAACAATTAAAAAACTGCAAGCATTTGATAATTTCATATTTCTTAAATTAAATATTTCCTGATGAGAAATGCATAAAAAGTTAAATGAACATATACAAAAAAGAAAATGTCTTGGAATAATAAACTGGCTCATATAAACATGAATAAATAACTTTTCATAATCACTATACATTTAATGTAAGCCAATTTCTTATTCAAAATAATTATAAACATAGTAGTAAATTACGTTCGTCTCCTTAAATTAGCGGTGCAGTCACTACACTGAAAAAAAGTAACTTACATTTTAACTAAGTAGTTACAGTAAACTACAGAAATAAAGTAGTTTTTCCGACCACTGGGGTTAGAAGTAAACAATTAGAAGAAATTGGCATTTATACACAATATATATAACTTGCGTCTAAAAGCTCAAACAATGATACTTTTAAAGAGTGAAAAACCTAAATAAAATATATACTTTTGTAAGAGATAAAGTTTCGAATTCTTCCATCATTGTAAATTATGACTGTTTAGCTTTGCGAATATTTATTAGCAAATATATTTAAATAGACTATTAGCACAAGTAAAAACATACATAAATATTAAGCAAAAACTAAAAACATAATTAGAATAATTAATGTTCTTTAACAATTTGATTAATTTTATAAGTCATTATATAGAGGTAATTCATAAAATCCCTCCAAAAAATAGCATTCCAGCAAAGAGTAAATAAACCAGTCATTTCACTTGAATTCAGTAGAACATAAAACGATGAAAATTTGGAATAGTCAACAAAGAGCCATTTCCCTCTCTTTAATTCCCACTGATCCAAAAACTGCGTCAATTTCACAACTGCGCAAAAGGAGGCATTCACGCTGCAGGAAATTATCTCAGACGCGCGTGTGAACTGCAAGAATTATTTGCTGTCATGTTATAAAGGCCATTCGATGATAGAGTGAGTTCGCAGCGATAATTCGGATGCAGCAAGTGGATGAGTGAAATAAATGCATCAGATTTTCTTCGCATCAGGAAACTTCTTTTTTTTTATTTTTAGAAGCTACTCTTAGTTTAGTTGTAGTACTACTTTATTGCGTCGTACTAGAACTGCACAAATGGATGGATGGGTGATCGTGTAAAGCTAAGGGTGGTGGAGCTAGTGGTAAAATTGCTCTTTCAAGACTTCCGGGTTACTGCTTCCGATATATTTTTACGCCGCAGATTGAAAAAACGAGCTATCATATTATTGCATCATATCTTTTGCAGTATTTNTGAGTTCGCAACGATAATTCGGATGCAGCAAGTGGATGAGTGAAATAAATGCATCAGATTTTCTTCGCATCAGGAAACTTCTTTTTTTTTAGAAGCTACTCTTAGTTTAGTTGTAGTATTACTTTATTGCGTCGTACTAGAACTGCGCAAATGGATATTGGTTACTATCTAGGAAAAATTCCTGAAGATTATCCGAAGACGTGCCATCGCAATTTTTATCTTCTAAGAAGGGAATGGTACCCACGCTTTGGCAGCCCGATGAAAAGCGCACGAAGTCGAACACTTTAAGGTGGAACAGTTAAATGAGGACCAATGCCGCACATCTTCGGTTCCTTTGCAGGTTGATCAAAGTGATCTTCATATCCACTCCACACACTGGCATCTGCTGGTGTTACCTCACTTCGGTGAGCATCTGGGAAACGTGCCTTACGATCAGCCCACAAGACACTCTTATTTTAGAAAACCTTACATATGCTGTGCAAATTTCGCAAATGATTTCACACTGATTATGACCCTTGGAGATTATTCTTCCCGCATGTGGGAAATTTGCATGCAAAGGAGTACCTTATTGGTAAAGCACATTGACCGCCCAAAAATTTTCCAATCAGGTTTTCATTCATATATGATTTTTTTCACATGCGTAAAAAAAATTAACCATAAGGGCCATTCTCACTGTATGTGGGAGAGTAGTTTCTATAAAGTTTCATAGCGTAGTTTCACGTGTTGAGACTCAATATAACTGCATATGACTTTTTCGATTGAGAAAAAATTGCTCGCAATGAAAAGGGTCCCTTGGGCAGTGGAATGCTATGAGAATGAACCTTTAAAATTTAATACAGCTGGCATTGAAAGCAAGAACAAAAAGACTTACAGGTTAACAATTTTAATTAATTTTTATAACCAAAACCTCTTTTTAGGTACTTTTTTTATTAACGCCGAACTCGAGCAGCACAATAGGCGATTGGCGATGGACTGAGAAATATCCCTGAGGATGATCCAGAGACAACATACATAAGTCACATCTCGTTTTACAGGGAGAACATATTTACACACCATCCATTCAGCCACAGATCGAAATTTTGACCCGAACCAGTACCCCCAGAGGTATTTTATTTTATTTTACAACCGTCGTTGAGCAGCCGACCCAATTTTATGGGCTTATGACTACGACTGTACAACTCCGTAGCCTTGTAATTTTGATCCCAATCCAGAACACAAGGGAACTCCTGGATCGAGTATTGGGAGACATTTGCCTTCGTGGAGGACTTTTTGATGGAGCTAACCCTCATTTGCGTTATATGGCGAGGAAGACCACGAGAACCTCCCCGGTTAGCCTGACGGCAAGGGGACCCTAGCTCACGACTAAGGATATTTCATGTCAGCACTGTGGTCGGTGCAAGCCGGATGCGGAATTCATATCGACTAGATTCGAACCCGGTTCGCCTCATTGGAAGGAGAACGCTCTATCCCCTGAGACATCGCGGCTCCCCCAGAGGTATTGATTTGTTATGGGAACTTGGATGACTTTGTGACCCCGACAGATTTAGCGTGCACCAGTTACGATTTTGTACACGGGGAGTTTTCGGCTGTGGGGTGAAATTCACGACTTCTCGGACATAGATCTAATGCCCTACCAGTCATACTATCCCTGCCCCTACACCTGAACCTAGAGATAACGCTCTAGTTTAAGATTTTCAAGAATGGTATAGCTATAATGCGGAGAAGTTTCTTCAGATTATTTCTATTTTTGTTTATTAGTTCAATATAATGATATCCAATATAAAACCGCATGAACTGTGTAAATAAGCTGCTAAATAATTGAAGAAAAGCTCTCAAAAAGTTACTCATTCATTTTATTTATTTGTTTGAATGTTTTTATTTTAAGCTAAGTCTCGTGATCTGATACGGAAAATCTTATGAAGGATGCAGTAAAACATTTTCTAATAAAATCGTGGTCTCGTCAATAATAATTGCGAGAAGCAAGTGTACAGTGGAGTTAGTTAGAGCTCCTGGATTTTTTGGTCAATTATCAATTTTCATTTAATAGTAATTTTTTTCTTCTGTAATTTTAAAATACAAACAATATTTAAACATTGAAAAATATTTTTTTTTTGTTGTTAATTTTAAGCTGACAAGGAGCTTTCGAAGTTTTGAAAATCGGTCTAAATTTTAATTAGAACAATGTGATTTTTTTCGAAAATATTGATTTAAAAAAAAAAAAAACTGATGATTTCTTGTCGCTTTAAGTTGGTTAAAAAGTATTCTGTGGGTAATGCTATAAATTTAATTAAACTGCAAAAACCTTACTTTAAAGTGGTTATATTTTAGTGAATTTTGAACCAATTTTAACCAATCTATATTCACCAAACATCTGCATATTATTAAAAAAAAATATGTACTGAAAATCTTTGAATTTTTACCGTTCATCTACTAAAAAGTTACTAACTACAACACTGACCAGAAGCCGTGGTAGGGAGATTGATATTTTTAATCACAAAATCGTATATATTTGATTTAAATCGGATTTTTTAAAATCTTAATCAGATTTCTTGTATTTTTTTTACAATTTACCATTCAAAGCATATGATAAAGGATTTTAATAAGACTTAATATTGTTTGAAAATAATATAATTAAATAGCTATTATTTCCTACTAAGATGGATGAAATAATTATCTATTATTACATACTAATCAATGTGTTAAGAAAAATCATAGTTTCATTTTTCCAGCTCAACTTGCTAATTGTTAAAAATTGGGAGACAATTTTTCAACTAGATTAAATTAGTTTAGATAAGAAAAGATAACTGAAAAAAAAAAAAAAATTATGTCACTCTTTATTGAGCAAGTCTTGATACACACTAACTACATATTTGATATTGTGTAAAAGCACTGCGTTTTAATTAGCAAAAAACTAAATGGGTATAATTGAAACATATTTTTAACCAGAAAATTATTTTAAATGTATTTAATGGAAAATGACAATTTAAACATTTCATATCACTCTTATTCACATTTACTCTATTTTAAAACATAATAATTTATAGCCTTTCGATATTTCTAAGTAAAAATCCTTATTATCAATAAAATCAGATTTTAAAAAAGTCGTCCCCTAAGGAATGTATTTATTAATTTTATTGAAGAAAAATATTTTATGTTTAAATTATATTTTTTTTCAATCAATATTTTTTAACATTTTTTTAAAAATTATTCATTTATTTTTTTCAAAGAAAATCAGTACTGATTTAAATTAGTAAATTTTTTAGTGAAGTAATGAAAGGGAATTGAAATAATTTCAATGCATATGCCATTTAGTATTTCGTAGTAAAAAAATAGCTCCCTTAAAAACATTCACTATCAAGATGAAAAAAAAAAGAGGAATCAAATGATTTAAATCACGATTGTATTCGAAATGCATTATATTCTAGTTGTAAAGCTAATTCTGACTGCAAGATCTCAAATTTAGTCCCGGCATAATTTGGCCTATTATATTTCGATATATTTCTTGGCCAGGTAGAAGCTTATCGTGGAAATAGTGCATGATTTACACAACCACGTGACTATGCACAAATATGTGATTTCAGCGGTCTTCTTCTTGAATTGAATGGCTTGGAATAAGTTTTCATATTGTCTGAGTGAACTTTTTTGGTGGAAAATTGCATTTTTCCAAACAGGCAATATGTTACTATTCCATGCGCTACCATCCAGTAGAAAACCTCGAATCTTACGAAGTAACTATCTGGAAACAAGACTAAAACAGTTTGATTTGAAAATGTCAGTTTTGGTTAAAGTATGGTTTAAACTCAAAGGAAAACAAGTGGTGGGGGGAAGGAAAGGAAAAGATTCTTAAAATAGAGAAAAACAACAACAACAGCTTTGCAAAAAATGAAACATTTATTTCCTTTAAATTAAATTTTCATAAATTAAACATTTCATGTAAACAATGAACATTATATAAATGCAAATTATAAAATCCGATTATCTATACAAGATAGTGACAACACACGATTAAAATTATTTTCAACAAAAACATTTAATATGTAAACACATATGAAAGCATATTGAAAGGTTGCTTCAAAAATTTGCTCAGTTTTCTGTGATGTTTCTGTATGTTTTATTCGAAATTGTTTAAAACGTTTTATTTTTCATGAGGAAATAGGTTTGCGTTACAAGATCATATTTTTATACTTTAAAATTCAACGATAATAATTCTTTAAAAACAAATTAATAATTTGTCACATGATCTTATGACATTTTACTTAGGAAAATTAAAATTTATGTGATTTAATAAGTAACAGTAAAAACTATTAAATAAAATTTAAAAACAAGCTGCTAGATCTTTTAAAATGTTATAATTAGAAATGAACTAAAAAAAAAGTGTCCCGATGCAAATTATTCATGAAAAATGTTTATGATTTAAATCCCTGCATTATTGTAGGTATTATTTGCACTAAGTAGACATCGTAATATTTTCTTTTTCTTTATTTCAGAAGTCCGATTTATGTGTATGGGAGTAACAAAAAAATAAAAACACCAAAATTAAAAAAAAGAAATGGAATTATCAGTATTTTCCTGAAGTATTTTAGTGCCGGTATTTTCCTGGATAATTTTCCTTTCCCCAGGAAAAATAATTTGCTATATACTGGAAGATAGTCCTTTTTTTCTTATTTTTTTAAAAGTATTTTTGACGCAATTTCCCAGTATTTGGGTATTTTGAGCTTTCTGAGAACTGAATTGAATGAAGGCCAATGAAGGCTGAACTTCACCCTAAAGTAAACGATATTACTTAAATTAAGCTGATCAGATGAAGCCGTAAACTCTATCCAAAACTAAACTCGTGGCACGACAGCCCCTGGAAGACCAAGGTCTACTGTGTCCATCTCAGTTTTCTTGACATTTTGTGCAGAAAGAGATGNGCTGAACTTCACCCTAAAGTAAAACGATATTACTTAAATTAAGCTGATCAGATGAAGCCATAAACTCTATCCAAAACTAAACTCGTGGCACGACAGCCCCTGGAAGACCAAGGTCTACTGTGTCCATCTCAGTTTTCTTGACATTTTGTGCAGAAAGAGATGGTCTGGTTGGATGGTTAGCCGATCGCCCCAGTGTTTAGTTCTCAAGCAAGCTTGGTACTTATTTTATCGACCCACTGAAGGGATAAAACAGTGAGTCAACCTTGTCTTGTCTAGATAGAACCTCGACCTTGTAACATGAGCGTGCGAAGTTCTTTTACCCAGTCACGGGGCCTTAAACTAAGTCCAATACAAGAAAATTAGGGAAAGGTAATTTAGCCAGTGTGGAAACGAGGTGCCTCTCATAGCATTCTCCTCAGAAAGCAAACTTTTCTGAGGAGTAGAATTTTAAAGCAACTTAATTAATAATAATTCATTTCAATATTCGCAATTATATAATTACGAGGGTGAGCCAATAATTATCACACATTATTTTAAATTGCACTATTAAAATAATAATAATATTTATAAAAATGCTGATTCAGATAATTAAAAAAATTGTTAAAGTGTTAAAATGAGGAAATAAATTAGTTATTAATCAAAATGAATCTTTTAATAAGTTCTAAACATTAAAATAACTTTTTAATTAATAAATTGAAGATAGCATCCATAAGTGAAAATAAACAAATATTTTCGGGAAGAACGTTTTTAAATTTTTCGTTATAAACATTAGTGCTGGTGTTAATTTTATTTCATTTTGACGCATAATTTTAAGAAGAAAAATAATTTTTGTTTGCTGGTTGGTTTTATTAGACTGAGTAAAATTATAATAACTGTACCCCTCGTATTAAAACTGTTTTTATACAAACTATAAAACATACGAAACAAAGAAATACTTGAGAAATTAAGAGCAAAACATTTTGATTTTTCAGAAGGCTTGTGTTTCAGTTTTATCTTCAAACACATTTCCACAAAACATTTTTCATTTCTGAAAAAAAAAAGTTACAAAAAATAAACTTGAAATTTTTTACATGAAAATATTTTGACCAACAATGCTTGCACCTTATTTTTTCAGCGATATAAGTTATTTTTGAAACATATCTCTAAAACATATATATTTACATCACTATGAACATTGCACAGTTAAAGGACACATAAATATACCATTTCCTTAACAAATCTCGTGTAATTACTAATAAGAAGCATTCATATTTTTGTTTTGTTTATATACAGGCTGCTATCATTTCTGTACTATAGAAATAATGCCACACATATTACAGTACAGTGAAAAGACCAGTTTGTACAATAAAAGAAATAAAAAAAAAAAGTTATGGCAATTAAATAAACATTTGGCAAACAGTTGTCACGCTATTTTGAAAGCGTGACGTCAAAATGGCGTCTTTATTTACAGTACAATAGTTATGGCATACTTATAGATTTTAGAACAGTTTATTTTAAAAGTATCTAGTTCAAAAATGGATAAAGGAAGAATCAACTGTTTTTTTTTTCTGAAAGAATGCATACATATTTTTGTCATTGCAACTTTTTTAAGGATTTAATTACGTAAATCGTAATTGATGTAGCATTTGATACACTTTTTTAATCATATTTCAAATATTCAATTTCAATTTACTAAATACATTGAATAACATTTCAAATTAGAACAAATATTATTATAAAAGGAACAAAATTATTATTTTTTTTTAAATAACAATAATAAAAATATACATATTTTAGCGAAAGTATTAAACATCAGACAAAACTATTCTGCCCTGGAATTATTTTAATATTCATAAGCGTAGAATAAGGTGTTCTCTAGTACGTGAAAAAAAGAACTATGTTGTACTAGAAAGAAAAATGTTGTAAATGACCACCATTGACATCGTCGCAGGGTGGCCGTTTCCAGAATTTTCTGTCAGGGACAGCTGTGCTGTTAAATGATAAGAATACACTTCTTGTTAAAATTACAACAATTTTCCTTTCAGATTTTATTAACCCCATCCAGTATAATTAGTTTTTGTTTCAATTTCTTAATCTTATCTTCTTAAAAACGGATGAATAACAATAAAAAATTCAGTTAAACAAATTAAAAAATCCTCTTTAAAACAATCATCTGGGTTAACATTTAAAAACTATCAGGAAAAAAAGTAACGCCATAATTTTCCTGGCTTCTTCAGTATTAATTTAATTTGATTTCAATACCCACTTCAGTTTCTTAAAAAAAATATTTTATTGTATAATAATTCAGTGAAAAATTTATTGCAAATTTATCGGGATAAATTAAATAAGCAGCACCATCAGTTTTTTCATGGTAAACTTTACTGGAGAGGAAGGGAGGTGACATATTCCAAGAATACATGACATATCTGATCACCACTCTTCGACTTAAATGACAATGAAAATACGTTTTATCGTCATAAATATACTGTCAAAAATGGCAAAAATATTTTATCATTATAAATATACAGAAATTTTTTTTCAAAAAATGTATCATTGTTTAAGGTACATCATATAAAATACGAGTAATTCTATTAACAAATGATATAAAAAAATATATTACTAAGATAGGTAAATTTTTATACCCGTAAAACCATATAATACTGAAAGACTTTTGACGCAAACATAGTTAATTTAGTTTGCGTCAATTATAGAATACTTAATCTTTCAAGAAAGTTATAGTTTAATTTAGTATAAGAAGAAGATGGATTAGCTTTCAGCAAGAAACGAAAATTAATTTTAAATAAAGCAACAAATAAACTAATACCATAAGCACTTACTGTATACGTCTTGAAACAATTTTGTGATAATTGCTTATAATTTTCGAAAATTTTTATTTAAAATAAATCAAGTTACTTTAAAACAAATAAATAAGAAATTCTGAATTTTAATTAATCTGTTTAGGTAATAAGTATTGCGTAGATAATTCACTAAGACTAAAGTTACCTATATTTTGTGTAAATGTATTGTATAAAATTTTTCATTTCTACTCAAAACAAAACACTACGTTTAAGCTTGTATTTTGAAGTTTTGTATTTGGTATTGGATTTTTCAAACTTCCAAATACATTGGATAATTTTCATGAACATCAAAAATACTATAGCTGGAAATATTATCTATATATTATACATATTGTTATCTTGAACATATAAAAATTCATTAGTAAATGTTACTTAAGAAAATATTTTGGGTGTTATTGTAAAAATATTTCAATTTAGCTTTAAAAGTAGTCTTTTTGAAATTCAATACGCGTGATATAAAAGTTATCATAATATAAGTTCTTAATAAGAAATAAATATTGAAAATTTCGAAAAATACATACATGATAGTCCATTTTCAAACTTATTTGTGCTTTGTGAGTTGGTATGTATTTTGAGCTTTTTAGCTAAATTAGTTTAATCAAGAGAAGAAAAAAAATAAAACATTCAAAATACGCAAGATCATGTCAGGAAAAAATAAGTTGCGCTTTTTAAAGAAATAAATCATTACATATTATAAAAAATGAAGTTTAAACAATTAAATCAAAAACATTTTTATGAGCAATGCTGAAAAACGTTTGAACAAATAAAGTTTTATTTTAAAAAAATACTTTCATAGTAGAATTTTATACTCTACGACCCTTATAAAGAATAATTGAGCAAACATTCACATTCAATCAAAAGCATTTCTCAAAACTCATCACAATTCCAGCAAACATAAAAGTGTGTAAAATCAAATAATGTGAAAAGTGAGTCAGGCTTATTGAAGTTTGGCAATCTTGGCATTCATTGTTTTGTGAGTCATTAGAAAAATGCTGAAACACATCTTCTGAGCGAAGCACAATCTTCAGAAAATCAGATTTGAGCAAAAAGGTTTACGATCAAACCTCATAAGGCACAATTATGGTCTATAAAAATCCTTTGGACCTTAAAATTCTAGAAAAATAATCTCATGTTTTTTTTGTTGAGCAAAAGCATGTATTTGATTTTTGAATGGGACGAATTTATTTTCACTTCTGGTCATCTTTCTTCGATGAATTGATGAGACTGTTAACGTCCGCCGCTGTTACAGCAGCTTGGTTGTAGTTAGATAATTGCTTGTCCAAATATTTGATGGATTCGTTTATGTAGTTCTGTGCAGCAGACAATGCTGATACAATGGCATGGGAGCCAAATCCGTGTGAAATTAGGGAGAAATGTGTCAAGTGGCGTTGTATTTGCTGAGGAAGAATGGGTTGGAACTTAGCGTTGCAAAGTGGTGAACGGTCTTGACCCAAGAATTCTGCAAACTCTTTGATGATTTCTCTGCAAATAAATAAAGAAGTTAATACATATGTTATTCAAAATAAAAATAAGTAAATATGTTACAGGCATCTATGAACCATAGCTGCCAATATGAACGTCATATATAACATAACAGACATAACGAAATATATATTTTTTTATTCAGGGGGTGGACAAAATAATGGAAACACTTCTATACTAATATATTTTTTCACATTTCTCCCGAAGTGCTTAACGAATTATTTTATTACTTCAGAAGTGTTTAGATCATGCGATTTCTCATGCATATCAATGAAGCTTAAAGCTTTTTGAGGACTGACAATAAATAACAAACGAAAAGTAATGTTTTCGAACACCAATGCAAAAAAAAATGTAGTAATAAATTTGTAACTTGTGACAGTTATTTTGGTTTATCATGTGCAGTAATTACACAAAATTTCGCAAGCCTAGCTTTATTCATGGAGATAAGATTTTAAAAAAGTTATTTTTTTGTCTTACATTTTTCTTTGTTTAAAAAAATTAAGTAAGATTAAATAAAAATTATCTTAATTTTGCTGCGAATCGCATTTGGCAACTAATGAAAAAAGTCCGATTTGAATATTTTAAAAATTTAAAAAGCTTCAATTAACGTCAAAGTAATTTTCCTACTTTTTGAAAGAAAGTTCAGAATGATAAAAGGTTTTCTACAAATATCATTTTGTATCATAAGACAGAACTTAATAACAAATGATAATACCTTACAATAAACATTCATACACGAAGATAACTTTCATGGGGGATGATTGCCAGAAATGCCGGTGCCATTTTTAATAAATCTTGTTTTATAGTACAAAATGAAATATGTGGAAAACTCCTTATCATTTTGAGGATTCATTTAAAATGTACGAAAACTGCTAATTTCAAAACTAAGAAACTACTAAGTTAGTTGCCAAATACGATTCACTACAAAATTAAGAAAAAATATTTTTAATTTTGTTCCGCTATACTATAAATGAAGATTATTTCATTATTTAGCAGTAATAGTTATTTAAATACTTAAACAAGCAATTCTGTAAAAAATCTATATTGATTGGGAATTTTAAAAATTTTTTTTCAAATTTGAGAAATTTTTTAAAATATACAAAATTCCCCAAACGTTTGAATAAACCCAAGATACCAGGTAAAAGTGGAAGAATAAAGTAGTTTACTGAAAAATGAGTTTTAGCAACTATGTAACCTAAATCGATGAAAAATTTGAAATAATCTTACGCATTTTATCAAATTCTTCAACCAGCATTTTTGAAAGGAAATTAATGTTATGCGCTTCCCTGTTTATAGAGTTTTGGGAAAATGTTTTCATCTTTGCATAATAAATATACGTTTAAATAGTTTTTAAAGGTTAAGGACACAAGTGGTGTGCTATGCAAATTGCTTTCACTCTATTGAGATATTGTTTGATTTATTAACGATAACCCGGAACTGTGATTGAAATCCTGGCATCCATTCTAAATAGAAATATGAAATTTTTTTCTTTCCTTTTTGTCTTTTGCCTTTCTAAGCATTTAAACAACATTCATGGATCAAATCAATATGCTCAAATGATGATCGAATCCGTTTCGTTCTCAAAAACGAAGAATAAGCAGAAAAGGAAGTTGTTTGATTCTTGGGCATCAGAATTAAATCAGCATGCATAAGCAGTGAAGTGAAACGTGCGCGCGTACCTACCACATGCCAGAGGATTTTTCTTCTTCTTCTCTCTATCTTCCATCATTTATTTCAAGCAAAACGGCATGACGCTTCTGGATCAAAGTCATGCGGCACGATTCATTGTTAAAAGTTCAGAATGCTTCTTGAATATTAATCAATTTGTGTTTTTTTTTCTAAAGGGGTGGAGGAAACGATTGGAGTGTTTAGTACAGCTACATGGTTTAACTGGTTGAATATTTATTCATGGGTGATTTTTTGTGTGCACTTAAAAATATCAGTTAATAATGAAGCAAATTTTGTATATTTTTTAAGGATACCTTAATCTTGCGAATTTAAGAGCAGTCACAGAAGAGAAAATGTATGCAGTGTTCGTTTCACCAATGCGAAAAACATGTGCTTGATAAATAAAAATCACACATCCTCGGATTATTTGATTTCATGAATTTTAATTTATTTCATAAGTTGGCAGCTCAGAATTATTTCATTTGATTCAAATAAATAACATTGATTATTCAGAATCATTTGAATTTGATAAATTATTCTCAATCAAGAGTTGAACTGACATAAGACATTAACCATTTACATACACATAGCAGCCACCATCCTGTTCGTATTTTCTTTCAATGTTATATATTTTAATAAAAATCTTAGTCATTAAATCATGGCTAAAAAATATCAGATGAAGTCAGAATCGTGACAGAAAAAACCTCAAACTGGAATGAACTGCCATTGCCAAAACCTCGCCGGAGGAAACCACGGAGAATATATATATATTGTATATATATATTTNTAATTTAATTTTAATTATATAGCAATCAACGGCACAAGTACACTACGACTTAATTTAAATGAATTATTATTTTTCCAAGAAATTAATAATTGCTCATGATGCATACATTTGAATAATAGTTTTTCCTTCAAAATATTTTTAATTTGCTTCCATTATTTAAATATGAAAACAAATATAAAAAGGGAAAAAAAAATCAATCAATTGTTTACTGTGTAGTAAACTTATAAGCTTAAGCTTACTAAGTCTGAATTTCTGAGAAGAGATTCCAATGGGATTAGGGGAGGATGGATAGAGGAAGGAAAGCTACCAAATATTAAAGATGATTTATGATGACGTCATGAGAGGTAGGAGCAGAAGAGGGCTGGGCCATCAGCTCCACCCTGTCATTACAAGTCCTTTATAGATCCGGGAATTTCAGAGTATCAGGACGCGTAGAGAATTTACAAGCCGTTCAATGAGATTGGAGTTTGAGGTCATTATCATTGAAAAGTAGAGGAAGGGGAAGAACAAATAATTAGAAAAAATCTTCTCTATCACTTACAATCGAGAAAAGAAAAATTTAGATTGATTATATGGCAAAAGAGTAAAATGATGAAATCATATCACGCGGGAAATATTAATTAAAATTTAGGTCAAGAAATTAAATGAGAGCTTGGTTTTTGTAAAAGTTATTTCATACAGTATCAAGTATTTCAAAATGAATACCAATATTTTTAGGCATTAATTTTTGTTCAAATCTGCATGTCTGGAAATACTTATTAAAGATCACGATAAGAAATATTCAAGAAGAAAATAATTTCTAGCTAAGTTTTACTTTATTTTATAGCCTTCGTTGAACAGCCGACTCAAATTTTCAGGCTTACGACTACTAATGTTCAACTCCGTAGTTTTGTAATTTTGAACATAATCCGGAAGACAAGGGAGCTGCTGGAGATCAAGTATTGGGAGAAATGTGCCTTCGTGGATGACTTTTTGATGGAAGACCCGCATGTGCTTTACATGGCAAGGAAAACCATCCACGGTTAGACTGACGGCCTTTACCCCTTGATCCGTCTATCACTGAGGATAGCCAGCACTGTGGTCAGTGCAAGAAGGGTGCGGAATCGGTTAGTCATCGAACCCGGTTCACCTCAGACGAACGCTCTATTCCCTGAGCTACCACGGCTCAAATCATTGTGTATACTTGTACCTACCAGGTTATCTAATTTGTTAAGGGTGAAATATTAAATAATTTAATCCGTAAGTAGAAAAATAAAACAGCCCCGCAACAGAGGCTAATACAGCACTTTTTCATGCCCAGCGACATTATAATAGGAATGCTGAGAATGATGGCAAAGGCAATGTTGACAATGATGCAATTTCATTGCTATGGTGACAATAGCATTCACTTCACAGACGTGCTAGTACCCATCTCTATCGAAACTGGGTAGGGCTCAAGTCGCCATCGGGAATCGAACCCCTGTTTCTTAACCTCGCTGTAATATTTTAAAATAAGGCGATGTTTAACAGAAAAATACGTTTGAAAAAAGCTTTTAGTAATTCTAAATCCGATTTTTAATATTCATTAAAATGTCATTTAATGTTTCAAAAAAATGACTTTCATTTTTGCACGTGCGTAAATATTTAAAATGTATAAGAGCACAAAATGATTTTACGTATCTTTAAATGAGTATCATTGCTTCTTAGTTAAAAATGACAAGCTCTGCTCAGGTAAAAACAGCTGGTGTTAGTTTTGTATTGGTAGCTGCAAATCAGATATGAATTGACTATTCCACACCGGTTGTATATAAATAAATGAAAAAGTGAATCGAATATGATATTCATGATCCCGTGAGGGTATATGTGCACACATGTATGTTACTAAAAATAATTTTAAGTATTAAAGTAAACAAAAAAAGCACTAAATTTTAAGATAATAGTTTGAATTAATTTAGTAGCATTATATAATTGAGGCAAAAATTGTTACTTCATAAAAAATTTTGATTGTGCAATTCCGGAAAAGTATTTTAAATCGCTTCATAACTAATCGAATCCTCATGTTTTTGACATTTATTCAGTGTGAATAATATTTCATATCATTATGATGAATGAAATTTTCATTTCAAGAAATTTGCTAGATTTTTTTTATTTGTTTGATATATTTAATATGATTACAGCAGAGTCTTCTCCAGACACATTTCTTTATTAGTAAATCATTCGCAGCCATAGTAAATAATTGACATCTTGGTGATACGAAATTAAATAAACTATAATCATTGTATTCCTAAGGTTTAAAATCAGCGTTATAAAAGAAAAATATTTTGGTTAATAACGAATAGTGACATAACAGAAGTTTTTTCTCCTTCATTTTATAGAATAAAATTAAAGAATTACCTTGAATCTATAAGTTCCTGTTTCCTTTTGTAAATGAGTGCTGGATCTGTGTAATTCCTGGAGAGGTATTCGGCTACTTGTCGGGCAGGGAATTCGGCGTCACAAACATTTCCAAAATCTCTAGCCAAGTGAATAGCCTCACCTGAAATGGACATTTACTTAGTCATTACAATTATGCATATCATGTACTTTATTATTACATTGCCCCTCCCCCCTGTTCTATCATGACTTTTAAGGTATAATAAAAAGCGCAATTCAATACGCTACAGCTAGAATTGTATATAAGAGTGCACATCGTACAACCCGCTGTCTTCTGAATAGTCAACAAGCACTAAATACCATATAAATGAAATTGAAAAAACGTCAAAAGCATAAGAAAATATGAAGCTGTTTTTCGAATGCGTAAAATTTCAAATTCTTGTTTCACTTCAGAAACAGTACATACATATTTTTTCTAATTCTTTAAAATAAATGGATATTTCTTTACGGAATAATTAACTTCCAATGTATTGATACAAGAATCGAATTAAATTGGGCTCCTAAGAGTATTAAAGAAAAAATTTTTTCTGTGATCCTCTTTCGAGAAAAGCAGTGCAATACTATTAAAAAACTGAAAATGATAATGTAAGGGCATGTTATAACAAATATTTTTTTAGTAAACTGATAATCACTTTTTTTACTAACTGTTCCTAAGAGAACGACCACTTCTATTGAGGTGTCTTAAATGGAGATAACTCATTGCATCCTAAATTGCAATAAATTCATAGAAAATGCTGATTAGGGTAATTTTTTTGTGCAAAAAATAGAGTTTTGTTTAATGAAGTTTAAGTAATTAGACAGCACATTTATGCCGAAATGTATGATCAAATAAACACTCTTAAATTTTCGAAACAAAATTTTCAATCTTTATGCAGTTACCAGTTGATAAAATGCATTCTTTATGCATGCAGTTACAAGTTGACAAGTTGATAAAATGTCAATAATGAAGCCGTTGCGCAATTTCAAAATCTTTACTCGTACAAATAAATTTTTTCAAATCAAAAACAATTTTTCTTGATCATTCAATCCATTAAATGAGTTTCCTTAAAATGAAAATAGACCTTTTTTCATTTATCTTTAAAAAGTTTGATAAACAGCCCTGCACATAAAAAAATGAATAAATAATAATAATTTTCATTAAAAAAAATCAAACCATTGCGTAGTTTCCAAGAAAATAGTTAACCATCTCACAAAAGCAAGATGAGATGATGTACCCAAGATGAGAGTTAGGTCAACTCACGAAAGAAAATTATTTTTACGTTCATAATTTAAGAGTTTTTCTTCTGATTGGAAACTAGAAAGTATGCCATATATTTCTAATCAAATGAATGAAATAATTTAAGAAATATATACCTTTTCCGGTCAAAAAATTGCAAAGAAAGTGAAGTATGCAGATTCTAGGTAGTGTGTTGATATTAGATACATGTTAAGCAATAAAATTAAATCAAAATTAACAAAAAAAAAAGAAAGAAAGAAATGATTGCATACAGTAGGTAACAATAAAAATCCATGTTCGTAGTACTTCCACAATATATATATTTTTTTTTAGAAATACTTTAAGAACTTTAAACTTTAAAAGAAACTTTATTTTTCACGATATTTACACCATTTTAAAGATTTCACATTTGCCTGCTTTTCTGCATAATCACAGTTCCTTTCTTCAATTTTTTACAAATACCATGGCTGCTTTTGCTTGCCCATGTCATAGCAGTTTACCGCCATGTCCTTGAGAAGCATCAAACCTCACCTTTCACCTTGTTATTGAAACTGAATGTCTTTCCGGAAAATGTTCCCTCAATTAGGATTCAGACGGTATTCACACTGGGCTCAGTTTACAGTATGGGGTGTGCGTATGATGATTTTCCTTTTAAATTGCTGCAGGAGAGGGACGATTTAACAAACGGCGAATCAATTTCAACGGACGTGGTGAAAATGAGGTTCAGCACTTTTTCTCAAGAACAGGGCTAGTATTTGGAATGACATAGGCAAATTGAAATCTCCACAGCGTCTACCACGGTAGCAAAAATACATTGACTAAAGTGCTGATCACGAAGAAAATTTGACAAATGTTCAACCTTTAAACTATAGTAAGTATTATAGAAAATGAAAGGGTTTTTGCACTTCTAAAAAAAAAAGAAAAAAAAAAAAGCCTACTTTTGGGTTACCACGTAACTGATTACACTACTCCCGACTTTAATCACAAACTTTCCTTTTCGTGTGTTCTGCGAAGTATTTTAAAAATTAAAAGTAGCTAGATTTTTTAAACTTAGGACGCTTTGATATGACAATTGGAATTTTTCAATATCGAAATAATATTCCAAAAATTTAGGAAGTATACTGTTATTACTTTAGAGTTTTGGAAGATTTCAGATTAAATTGCTCTTTGTTCAGGAATTCGGAGAATAACCTTAAAATTCGGCTATCGGGCATGTTAAACAAATGTAAATACAAAATGATTTTTTTTACAAAAATCTTGAATTTAAATTACTTTACTTAAAATAAACTCAAGGTCACAAAGATTCAACTACCTCGGTTTTTCAGTTACAAATAGAGAATATACAAATAATAAAAATGCTGAATCGAGAACGAATAATAATGGCAGCTGGAATAAAGAAATTCCACTTAAACTTGATCCTGATAAGCTCAGTTCTAACTATTTACATTTTTATGACAAAATATCTCATCAAACATTAAGATATTGGATGCATGCATATTAAGATAATATTTGATACATATAAAAAGTAAAGAAAAAAAATAATAATAACAATGCAGCTATTTTACAAATGCAACACCGCCATTAAAATCAGGAATACGCGAACTTAGATTTTCCGTGAATGTTTTCATTCATACTTAATTAAGACATCTACCTTTAAGCGCCAACAAAAACGTGAAAGGCGTGGGAAGTGGTGAAATTAAGACAGAGTTGGTGCCAAATAACTGCCAAGTTATTCTTGACCTTATGGAAAAACAACATTTATTGGATGGAAAAAGAAGACAAGTGAGAAATGTAATAATAAATAAATGTCAAAAATTATATAAAGAATGCGAAGTTATGGAGCTGTAAAGAAGCTTAAATTGCTGTGGAAAACGTCAACATGTGTTTCGAAATCCAAGCACATAACTATGTGTAAAAACTCTTCTGAAGCGAATCGCGTTTTATTTCATTTCTGTATTTTTATCTCACAACTCGATCTTCATCATTTCAAAATTCTTCTTTTTTTACTTTTGCCGCCGCTTTTTATTTCCCACAGTTTTTCTTTACTCTCACAGTGCGCAATCTAGCATCCACGGCAGTGCTCTCTAATCTTGGTCCGGTTTTTTACCCATCTTTCTTTTTATAAATGATGACAGAGTGTTTAGAATACCAAATTTGTTCGCGACTCAAGAAGATGGATTCTTTAAAGAGGGGTTGAGACTGCGTCCTACGGTTTCGACAGAGTATCAATGTGTAACAAAACCGATCTGCAAAACATAGCCGAAACTTCACTTGAGGGAAACAAAATAATTATTTTTCCCTTTTCAAATTTAACTCTTTGCTGGAGATCCACAATCTCTATTATTTAAAAAAAGAAGGATAAAAATGGTTTTTATATACAAGGATTTAAGCTAATTTTTACAGTTTCGACTGAAAGATATATATTCCATATAGATCAAAACTACTTGTAAAAATTTTAAAATTTAAGAAACAATTTAACAGCTGTTCATAGTGAAATATTTTAGTTTAGAATAATTTTATTTAAAGGTGTGAAAAATTCGTGTATATCACAACGTGTGCAGTTATCATTCATATTAGTCTAAATGTAAGAGAATGATTTAAAAAAGACTGAATTCTGAAGGGTGATCGAATTTTTGGCATCATCACATTTGCATGTGTTTGAGAACAATTGCTTCCCCCCCCCCCCTCTATTAAATTCCAATTTTTTCATAATACCTTATAGTGATTTTTTTAAAAAAGATTTGTTCAAAAAATTAGTTAACTAATAATTATAAGCAAACATATATTAAAAAAAAATCGTTTTATTTACTTTTATTTTTTTGTAATTTTTATTTATTTTAATTTTATTGAGTTTTTTAAGTTTAAATTTTCTAACAAATTTTTTGACAAAATAACTTCGAGAGTTTCAAATTTAATTTTCCTGAATCAGAATTTTTCATTTTTATTTTAAAAGAGTAGAGAGCAAAATTTTTTTTATTTATTGAAAACCGATTCGGCAGTTTCTTATAAATGACCACAAGTTTATATTTTTAATTTTGGCTGGATAGTAGCTACCAGACTTATTACAACTACATTTTTGCAAAGTGCTTCTTAAAGAAGGCAATTTTTTGGTTATTTTGATTGCTAAAATCCATAAATGAGTACTTGAATTCAAATTTATATCCCAATTATTCTGCAGTATTTGACATTCTTAACAAATTTTTTATGACAAAATTATGCCAATATAATTCTGCGATAAACAGTTTTTAATAAGTAGTTAAAAAGTAAACCGTTGATCTGTTTTTAAATTTTTGTTAAGTATCTTTGTTTTTATGCAATTAACGTTAAAGGAATTTTTTAGCGTCATCCAAATTTATTTTCATTATTTTAAACTGTAATGGAATTATATTGTAAAAAAAAATAATATAAAAACTGAGAAGCGTGTAGTATTAAATTACTTACTCAAAATCATAAAACGCATTATTATATTGCTGTGAATGTTTGGAAAAAAAAATCGTAACAGTTCTAAAAAAATATCAAGCCCTATTTCTCCGTAATTAGTATAGAGATCTCTTTATAGCTCAATACCTTTTTTGAAAGGTATTTAGCTGTCTAATAATACTATATCATCAAAAGTGTTTACATTAAAATATCAAGGAAACAATCAATGATATCTAAAATCAATTATGCCGAGGGTAGAGATCTCTTAGCAAATCAAGAGAGTATCTTTAAAATAACAAGCTAGTAACTGAAGAGGGTTATTTTATGTCTCATATTAGTAACTAATTTTATCATATGCTTATAGTATAGATTCTCTTTTTCCATCTGCATGTCCTTTATTATTTTTTTTATTGTTTTTTTTATTGTTTTTTTTATAGTTGTCAATAGGTCAAGTTTCGGTTGTAGAT